TTGACTTCCTGCCTTTTCAACCTTTTGCATTGAACTTCCGTCCCGTTTGGCCTCTTGTCATTTGTTATTTGATTTATTTCCATTTGCCATTTGACTTATTATCATTTTGTGTTCGACGCATTGCCATTTAGCGTTTTACTTCTTGTTATTCGACATTCAGCTTTTTGCCATTTGCCTTGTTGCCCGTCCACTTTTGACTTTTTGCCTTTTTGAGTTCTTGCCCTTTTGACTTTTTTCATTTTAATCTTTTCGCCAAAATCGCCATTTAGCGTTAGACTTCTTAACATTTTATTTTTTGCCCTTTTGCTTCTTGTTTTTTGCATTTTTATCGGGGATCAGCTCACAGCTCCCAGGTCGACATAGCAGACGGACCGCGCTGGTCGGTCCGCTGACAGGTGCCTGTCATCCAGCCGCCGTCTGTCGGCCGGCAGCCGACCAGCTGTCACGGACCAATGTCTCGCCGTGGTCGGCCACGCTGCAGTCGTGCGTGGCCCGGCAGCAGCGTTGGAACGGCAGGGGCGTCAGGCCGGCGCTGGCACGCCCGAGAGGACGGCGGCCGGCCGACCAGGCGGCGCCGGCAGCTCGGCCCACCCGGCCAGGCGCCGCCGACAGCTCGGCCCACCTGACCAGGCGGCGCCAGTAGCTCGGCCCACCCGACCAGGCGGCGCCGGCAGCTCAGCCCACCCGACCAGGCGCCGCCGACAGCCCGGCCCGTCCGACATACGTGGAGAACGGTCTGCCGATCCCGGAACGAGAACAATGCATTCCCTGGCCCAGAGCTATGCGGACTATGCCAAACGGAATATGACAAACACACTGTTTGGCAACTAGCCAAGATTTCGTTTACCCTTTACGAACACGTACATTGCGCAAACGATCATGGGTGGAATGGAGGAATGCACAGACACTTGACCTGACGAACTGATTGTTTTGCTACGCATCAGCGCGGTGACCGGAAGGCGACGGTTTATGAATCGAACAGTATCGAATTTTTAACGCATTGTCCGCTGACACCAGGGAGCTGGAGCTATATTGAGGGACACCAGGGAACTAGAGCCATATTGAGGGACCTAGGGAGCTGGAGTTCTGTTGAGAGACACCAGGGAGCTGGAGCTCTATTGAAAGGCACCAGGGACCTGGAACTCTTTTGAGTGACACCAGGGAGCTGGCGTTCTATTGAGCTTTGGGGGAAGGACGTAAAAAGCGTGTGTTCAGCAGCTGACGCAGATGTGGCAGTACATGTTGAGGCGTGTTTGAATGTGCACATGCCAGCCAAGTGCTTCGCCCATGGTATCATCACGTCTGTTTTTATTGCATTTATGCGAGCATACGCCACGTCGAAATATGTTTGAAGAAAAACAGACAGGAACCGCCAAACGTCATCACCTTCGATACCGGGCTCCCATACAACACGCCTAAACCAAACGAGATTGTGGGGGGAGTGCACTAGGCGTGCAGCTCGGCGAATTGCAACCAGTTTCAAACCAGAGTGTCTCCTTTACACTCCCCTGACCATAACACCGCAAACATAAAACTTTTCATATTCCTCCGGTAATAACTGCCAGGCCTTGCCCGTCCCAAAGGCAAACAATGCATAAGCGTCGTCATTTGCATGTTTGAACGGCGGCATGCGAGTGCAGCCCTGCATGCTTAGCTCATGGAAGATGAATATTTCAGTGCATGGACAAGACCTATTGCATGCTTTTTGAAATGCGAAGGTCTCCATTCGCGCACGATTTGGCATCATTCGCATGACGAGATATTTTTCATCATTCATGTCTGTTCACGTCTGTTTGTTGGCATCATCCGCATGACGAGATATTTTTCATCGTTCTTATACGCTCGTCCGTCGCCTCGTAAGTTGTGCTGCCGGTTATACCTCATCGAACTGGTCTGACCAGCGACCGGCACCACATGCCACTTGTACTTATGGTTAATGGCACTATGAAAGCTCTGAGTGTGGCTCTGTTCCAAATAAAGGTGTCAGGACAGCGCTGCCAGGGGTACATGTGTCAGTATGACCAACAACTATGTTTCCCGAATCAGTTGCAAGATTTGTTCCGAAAGAAAGAAAGGTGTTCTTTGCACACATAAGATTAATAACAGTGAAATTAAGTGATGGTTATCCAACTTATTGCAAATCATATGCACGCTAAGCGACTTAAAACACACAGCGATTAATACTAGCGACGATTGGCAATAGTCCGGACAGTGGTGAAAGCGAATCAGAATAAGCAAGCAATAAAAAGTACAATAATTTACCAACGGAAGCGACAGCGACAGCTGTTAAGCCACTTGGGAAGATGGATGAATTGCCAGCAACCGCAGCTATTTTAAACTACCTTAGCATGTTGACAAATACACGCTTCAACGAGGTGCACGAGCTAACCCGTCTCTCGGACCCTCGGCTCTAACGACACGTTCAAACACGCATCCGAAACTGAGCTGCGCTGGGTCAACGTTAGCATGCAAATGCTTATTCTACTAAACACACTTTTATGGGTCCATACTACAAGCTTTTCTTTCAGTAGTGGTATTCCAGGCATAGCGCGATGCAGACGTGGGCAACTCCGGTGATCCTACTACGTGGACATGTCAACTGAATTAATTGTGACGAGCTTTTGAGAATCAATAAAAGCTTGAAAAAATTAAAGACATTTCCCATGATAATTAGACATTGCGAGGGCGCGTAACTCACATTACAGCATTGAAATCCAAACCCGAATTGTTTGCACCAACCCACGTCGAAACTAGGCTAAAACTAGAAAGCTAGAAAAAAGTGATATGACTTCGTTATTCATTGTCCTTTTTCAGCCGATGTTGTTGTCTCCGCCATGGGGGCAATGACCATGTGCACCAATCCTTGAATCTACCTTTGACCTGGTGCGGGTTTACGCGAGCTTTCCCATGTCACCTTCCGCTTAGCTTCCATGGTTTCCAAGAGAGCAAATGTGTGCGAGGTGCTGCGGGTTAAGACTGCTGTGAGGCCGACCCAGTCAGGGGAACGCGCGAAAAATGCACGTCTGGAAAGCGTATCCGTACGCGTATGGGGTATGCAGCATACGTGTACAGAAAGCTGCAGTTTGTTTGGCACGTTTTCCACCGGTAAGATTTTTTGAATTCACGCTGTCAGATTGTGCAAGGTTCTGCACGTAAACCAGCTTTATTCACAGTTGGAGGCGAGCCCCGCTTAGTCGCTCTTGTAACGTAGCCGTCTGCAGCATTGCAGCTGTGCGAAGCGATGCCGTGACAATAGTTCACCCATTCGGAATTTTGCCTGCCGGACAAAACCTTAGCCCCGCGAAAAAACCTTAGCCACACAGGTGTTTTCTGGCTATTCTACGGGGAATAAGGCAATTAGTGCTGTGTTATTGATACGAATAAAGCTGCTCTGAAAGCACGTGACAACTTACGTGATTTTGATTTTTCAACAATGAAACTTTTTTGACATGTGTACCTTTAAATATCCACAAATTTGCCGAGTACGCGCACACGCTACGGTGTCCACATCCCCTCCGAATACATCACTGCCTGTCCGGCTCTAGCCACATCCCCGCCCGCCCCCCGCCAGCAAGCGTACCACTTGCCAACACGCCGGCCGTGCCCTTGGCCCGGCGGAATCGGGCGCGCCGACCGCCCCCGGCGGGCTGACGTCATCGCGACGGCTTGACGTCACGGCAGGTTACGTCAGTCGCCAGGCTCGCCGAGCGCGGGACGTCGTAACCGGCTTTTCACGGGGCCCGCGTGCCCGCCGGTGCTGAGCCCGGCGGTTCGTCGACGGCGCGGCGAGCGCGGTTTCGATCTCAACTACGCCATTGTCGTGCGAATGACGCTTGGAAGGCAAAACTGAAGGGTTGTGCGCACTATAAACGCGCGTCAAGCCGGCAACGCAACCGTAACGCAAAATATTTTCGTCATGAAGCAACAGATTTCATCCACGACTCCTCTGACCAGTCGCACTAGCATGCGTCATTAAGTATGACTGATCCATCCGCAGTTTTCAAGAGAGCCAATCTTAGAAGATGACGTTCGATTTTAGAAGCTGCGACAGCAGAACAATTTACATCTGATCTCAGATGTCCGAAAACTGGCGTGAGGAGCAATGCCACGGAAGTTGAGTGGCTCAAGCCATCAACATAATCCATAGCTGTCATACATAATCCCTGCCCATTGTCTTGCTGCCTGGCACAAGATGATTTGAAAACGTCTGTAGCATGCCCGTATGTCGATTACAGGTTCCAGCATGCGACATGGGAATTCTATTGCACCATATGATGAGGTGAGCTTCTCAGGAAGACAACTTCGGTGACCGAAGCTGGGTGCACCTCTCCTGCCGCATTGCGGTAGAGCCCTGCCAGGAGCGCGCGCCATCCACGCCTTTCGGCGGTGCCATGCGCGGGCACGTCCGTTTTGTACTTCGCCCAGCCCGGCTGAACATTGACCTTGCTGGCGGGCGGCCCACCGACCATTGGCCTTGTTGACAGCGGGCTGACGGGCCGGGCGGACCGTATCTGCCGCCATGCCAGGGACGACCCGGCCGGGGCGCTCAAGGTCCACGGCCGCGGACGCCCCGTCAGAAGGGCAGGACCCCGCGGTGCGGCGGCCAGCGGACGAGCGCTGCCGCCGTGCGTGCGGATGGCGCCTGGGGCCGACGGCCGAAAATGAGACTCGCAGCGAAACACAGATAAGAGGCGACGTTTGATGGGAGTCGTGAAACGGCAGCCGACATGCGGATGTGATATTCGCGTGCGTTGATCAACAACTCCACGGTCAATTTTCCAACACACCAGCCTGCTGTTACCCAGCGTAAGCCATCACTGCTCGTAAGTTCGCACTGCGCGACCTCTATGCGTCCGACAGCTTGCTGCGGCAGTATCCGACGGTTTGCTGCGTTACTGTCCAACTTTTCCGGTTCGGCTCGGCTCGGCGGGGATGCTCAGCTGTGTTTCAAAACACACCGAACAGCGGCCTGTCGACGCAGGGCCGCCGATAAAGAGACCTTCTGTCCTGGTGGCTGTATTGGTCCGATGGATGGCTGCCCGCTGTGTGGAAAGCGGCCTGCCCTGACCTCAACAAGTCAACACTCGCAATCAGTCGCACGTGGGGACGCGCACCACGGTCAGCCGAGACCTTCCGCTCCGTCAGCATTCGAACATGCCCCGTACAGGAGATCAGGACAGCTGCGGCGGGCACAGGCGTTCGGCTGCGGTGAGAACAGATAACAACGCTCAAGCACCCGCCCCACTGTGTACGGGATGATCACAATCCTCCGCGTTCATCCCGCAGTGGTGGATGTATCGGGACATTTACGTACACACACAGTCGCACAATAGCTGACAAGAAGTAGTGCGGTTCGCACCGATGTTACGTGCACGGAAAATAAATGACGCACGCGCCTCTCGCACTGGTGGCTGCACTCACAGATCAGGCACGCCGGCACGCACGGCGGTCCGAATACCGCCAGCCCTGAGTGAGTGCGATGCTGCAGTGGGTACGGGCCCGTCCACCTTCACGGTGGTGGCCCCCACAAGCTCTCATCGACGGGGGTATCCGTCCCGGCTTTCAGCGACGGTGGTACACGGCCAGCCGCCGAGCCTTGTCACGAATGCCCCCTGGAGCCTCAGATCATGGGGAGGAGAAGTGTGGGGGGACCGAGAGCAACAGCATAATGACAAACGTGTTGCATATGAATGCGACAGATACTATTTTGGCTGAAGAATTCGTGCTAACTAAATTATATTTTGAGTCTGCGAATGTTCGTCATTTCCATAATAAAAACACATGGAACCAGACGACAAAACATCCTTAGGATATCGCGATATGCCGTCCACCTCCAACAGGGACATTTGTTTTACTACCTAACGCCCGACCACCCGAGCGCATTTCATAATGTTCTATACTGCATTGTATCTATAGCGGTCGTTGGCTGGTTTGCTCGCCTAAGCTGATGTTTTTCGCCTTTTCGGTGATGATGCCGTCGGTGATGTGACTGAGCTTGCGGGCGCGCTCGGCCAGGCCGTCCACCGAGTGTTTGGCCGAGTTCAGCAGCTCGTCGGTCGTCTTCACGGCCGTCTTGGTGACGTTGGCCAGCTCGTGCACCTCCTGGTTGATCTTGCCGATCACCCACTCCATGGCCTCCCGACCCTGGGTGGTGACAGAACACGGTGTGAGACGGGACATCACGAGGTCACAGCTTCGCACAACCCCGAAGACGTATGCACTAATGGCGAGCGCACCAAACAGCGTCTCAACTGGCCTGGAGACTGCAGGCAAGTAGTCCGCTAGTCGGCAGAAGCCAGCTCCCACCTTGCCAGCATTGGTCGAGATGATGCTGGTGAGGATGTTCTCCATGTAGTGGGTGAGTGGCACGCCCTGCACGGTGACCACCGCCTCCTGGCGCAGCAGCGTCTTGCTGGCGTCCTCCGGGTGTGGCGAGTACACCAGCTGCTCGTCCACCGAAATGCTGGTGCCGAAAGTGATCTGGGGACAGGAGAGCCGCGCTGCTAGAGCTGCACAGCGACCAGCGCAATTGGCCCGCGCCACAGCGCCACACGGAGAAACACGTCCAGATGAAGCGTTCGCTATAAAACTATGTAAAAACGCCATGGAAGCATACAGAAGGCGTCTAATTGTCATGGACCAGATTCTAATAGTCATCTGAGAGCATTTTCACATGCACGAAATCCCATTACATGACCGGCAAAACCAAGCGCATGGACGATGGGCTACGCATACCAAACGTACGTTATTTCTGCGTTGAACTCATGACACTGAACATTCCCGTCGCGAACAAACAGCCCTGATTACAACAAAGCGCAGCTACTTTTCTCTGTGTGCTGGGCAAATGGCGCGGGGCCATTCGGTCGAGGTGCTCACATTTCTAGTGTTGAGGACCATCTGCCGTGTGGCGGGGTCCACGGTGGAGCGTTCATAGCCGTAACAGACGTTGGGGGAGCCGATGAGCCTCGCCGCCCAGCCAGGGATTCCCCATTTGGAGCTGATGAGGCGATCAGTGAGCAGACGGCCGCCCTCCACGCGCCGGTCCAGCACGTCAATGCCCACCACTGCAGGATTCATGGGATTCGGGTACTTGCGCCATGCCGCTTGGCTTACCGTCTCCCACGAGTGGCTGCAAGTGCAGGCAATCATGTTATTACCTTACCATGAATGAGGTGAGGAACAAGAACACACAACCACACTTTGGTAAGTGAGATGTACTTCCATCTGAGAGATGAATCATGAAGAACTAGATGCCACCTAATGCTATCATGTTCTATCATGCTTTCCAAAGCAAAGACACTTGACACATGATGCTGTGGACAAGTTGGTCATCACTGGTCCTGGTCACACAAATTTACTTGGGTGTAGATATACATTGCTACCTTATGTTACAAAAAATCATTGTACACCATTCATTGTGTTTAAGGTGGAACATATCATAATCTCAAAACGGGTAGAATCATAGCGAGCTACGATACAATCAACTATGATAGCGAGCTCCCAAGCGCCGCACGCTCCCCCGCTCGACTCTCCCCCAGCGCCGTTTCTGCATTGTTGTTGCATAATTACAATATCTCTGCTTATCAAGAACCATAAAAAATGTATGGGACCAAGGAAACAATAATAATGCAATGAAAAACATTTCTTATTGTGTCTAGGTATGTTTATGACATGGACAGGCCAGAATAGTCCAGAACATAGCCTAAACTAGCCTAACCTAACCTAACCTAGCCTAACAACATAACCTAACCTAACCTAACCTAACCTAACCTAACCTAACCTAACCTAACCTAACCTAACCTAACCTAACCTAACCTAACCTAACCTAACCTAACCTAACCAACTTAACTTAACCTAACCTAACCTAACCTAACCTAAGCCCCCACCCTATCCCCTTCAACCCAGTGTCCCATTGGCATCCATGTTCCCTGCCATATATATGTCTTGCATTCAGAAGTTTTGGTGATTTCTGCCATATTCTCATTTTACTTTTCATTCCCACCCAAAAATGTTGTATTTTCCCACCATGTTGACCAATCTACGAACAATATGGAAGACTGATCGGATACACAAGTAACACATTTTGTTGGATTCTTGTTACCTTGGCCTCATAATTTCTATGGTTCTTGATGCACAGCAATGTTGTGATCACACAGTAATGTTGTGATCACCCGTAGAAATGGCACCGGGGTTGTGGTTCATGCGTGTTTGTGCTCAGATGTTCGCTATCATAGTTATTTAAGTTCCAAGGTAAGAGTTTAGATGGCTTGTTTACAATTCACTACGATATGTTCTGCCTTAAAAATGGCGATTGATGTACAATGCTCTTTCTAAACATGAGGCGGCAATGTACGCCCTGACCTTTGCTTGTTTAATAATGCAAATTTCACACCCTTTCTGTCTCATTCAGTCAAGTAACCAAAAAGATAACACATCCTGTGAAAGTTCTCTGCAGGATCACATGGGATCTTTGCTGACCAGGTTGCTATACACACCAAAAGGCACATAATCTATTGAGTGTGATATGCATGACATTGACACCCTGAAGTTTTTAATACCAGGGCCTCTGCAACTACACCCTGAGCCTCTACACCAAAATAGATCATCCTGTCACTTAGAAAACTCATTGGGTCATGAGCATGCTTGCAACTGATGCCCATCAATGCCAGGTTGACAATCTGCAGTTGTACGCACATGCACAAAATTATTGTTCAATTAAAGCTTTCTGATATTAACCCTTATCTGCACAAAAGCCTAATCTGTACTCTTCAGACACACAGTTATACATTGAGATCATCATGAAAATCATTGGTTGGTGGGCTACGTACATCCCCCATCACACAGCACTGGTCTCACTTGATTTCCAACCAAACAGAGAAGACCATGGCACAATGATAATTCGATACAAACTCCAAGTCCATGTCAAGAGATAACCTGAGCCCATCATAGCATAACAGTTGGATACCCCCCACATTTCTTGTTACGTAATCAGAACTCGTGACTAGAGGTCAGGAAATAACAGTCGTTCCATTTGTGGCGCAGCATAATGCTTGTTATTAGCTGCCCACATCCGTATTCACATCCCTACTTACTTAAAAACGTGTTCCGATGTCCAAATCTTCATGATATTCTAGGGAAGAATTTAGCACAAACCACGCGGCGCCCGACCACGATTACGCAGCCACTCCTCGCTCCACGACCCACGGCAGGAAAAGGAATGACAAGTATCAAGGCAAGCCAAATATAAGCATCGAATTACTGAGGCGTCATATGATTTTCAATTGGACAAACATTGGGTTATAGCGCAATGCTTATGACGTCACTGGTATCAAAAGACCGCAAGCGACAAATTTTTAGGTGTAATCCTGAAGACAAGACGAAAAAATCTAATAAAGCCTAAAAAGTTTGAAAATTTGGCTCCGTTTTCTGTGATATGGAAGGTGTGGTAACTGTTTAAACAATGGGCGAGACCAAGCGCGCATTTCCATTTCCTCTTCGGAGCCACCATTTTTTCCTTCTCCTCCTCTCCACTTTGAAAAGAAAGTGGGTCAAAAGTTGAAATTTATGTCTGGCGTGCTTGATGAAAGGTATGCTAGCTCTTCCCAGATGACTTTTCCAACTTATTTTGCGAATCTGCGTCAAGGTGAAAACCAGGCACGTAGGAAGCACTTTCCTCACGGAGCAGCCGTCAAATTACGTCTTAATCCCTTTAATTGGATGGAATCCCTGTAATCATGTGACGTTTGTCATTTGCTCGGGAGGCATGGCCCCCCCTCGCCCCACCTGGCTTCGTCCCTAGCCGTGCTGCGTAGGTGCGAACTTTACCAATGACGTCATGCTACCAGAAAAGATTTGCTGGACTGCCAGAATATCTGCACATGCTATGTTGCAAAACTCACGCGCGAGTGACGTATTAGACTTATCGGTATGTTCGAAGCGATGGCGAGGCGACTGGAACACTAGTTGTGGTCGACGGGTAAAGTTTTGCACTGTTCTTTTGATGGGACATTGAGTTGGAGCCTTGGTATGTGCATATTTGTACTCTTAGGTCAAGTGGCGTAGTTTCGCGGAATAAGTTGCGGGGCACAAGCAGGGAAAACGGTGTAACCTTTACCTGAGACAACACAAACACGTGTTTCTCCATGAATTTTACCCGCTGTTTTCGGTGAGCTTCCCATTTAAATAAGATGTGTGGTCTCCCCTTAGGCTGGCGGAGCTGCAGCCCCCAGTTTGAAAAGAAGGTTGACTGGAGTCAGGGAGGAGACTGTTTTTATGTGTGGGGGTGGGGTGGGGGGCAGACTAGGCTGTATTGTCCTGGTTGGTACAGTTTTAAATGCTGTATGCCACTTTGAACATGTTTTAGTTGTAGAAAAGCCATGTCAGAAGTTGCGGAGCATATATGCTACAAATCTGAATCTCCAGACCAGTCTCAAAAATATCATCCACTGCAATGCTGCACCAGATCCCTGCACAATATTCTGCTGGGCCTTATGTTTGCACATGCCTAACTCAGGCCAGGCCAGAGTATGCTTCAATTTCAGATAATTTCTGTGCTAAAAATATCATCTGGGTGTTTTTTTCCTGAAAATTCCTTCCCAGTACCTAAACATCCTGGAACAATGGCTTTCTTTGTGATGTGATTAGTGGTGGCTGTGTGCTAAACTTAGTGCTCAGATTTAAAGCATACATGCACTAAAATTTGGGCTACAATGTCACTGCTATGCCTGGGGTTATTCATGCAATGTGTATATTACAGAGCCTTGTGCCCGGAGTTGGGCATGCATCACCACTGATTTTAGGGCATGGAGTGTCATGAGTTGACAATTGACAACATACATGTAATCAATGACAGTATGACTATGATGTGTGAGGAAAGTCATAATTATTTCAAAATTGATAACAGGACTTATCACTATTGCCCACATGAGTTTGTTACACAAAATTTTACCAGAATGCATTGCAGATGACATCCTGAGATGAATTGAAGACTTCCCATAAGATAGTTTTTTCTACTTGGCCTTGATAAACTAGCAGATTATGGTAAATCTTTCTGATCCCAACAATGTAATCCCATGCCTGGAATCTCTTTACCTTACCTCACCTTGTGGTGATCAGGAATGATAAATGACCATTAGGCCTGACAATACTAGTCTTATCAGGCTCCTGGTCCAGTAACCAAACAGCTTCAAAGTATAAATATGCTCAGTGTGAAATGTCACAAATGATTTCCCCCCAGTTCATATCAAGGCTAGACTTGCTCTGTTTAACTGAGGGTGACTATACAACAGGTATAGAAGGGTGTTCCAGTCAGTGATGACCTGCATGCTGAACAAGTTGTGAAGGATGGGAGTCCTAGGTTATTCTTAGCTTCGATTGGTGTCCACATATCATGTCCAGTTGAATCTTGTCAGGAACTCCTCTTTTGACAGTGAAATACCTCTGTGAAACAGCTGATACACTCTAACCATGCCTCCCCTGTGACAACTGTAGTACAGCAAGGGCAACTGGAAGGGTCTGAGCCTTTCAGGGTACTACCAGTGCCTAACTTTGTGGACAAAACACATAGCTTGTCGCTGAACCCGCTCCAGCCACTCCTGATCCAGTCTGTTGAACGGGCCCCAGATGACGCTGTTATACTCCAAGTACGGGCGTACTAAGATCGTGAAGAGTAGTGACAGCATGTGAACATCGATATTGGCAAACGACCGCCTCACGACGGCCAGCACCTGGTTGGCCTTCGAGATCGCTACCGCCGTCCGCACGTGAAACCCCATCCCGAGATCCAAGATGACCCCGAGGTCGATCTCTGTGGGCTCGACCGGGATTTCGGCGTCGTCCAAGAAGTCGGTCGGTCTGAGGTTGCAGCTCCCAATATACAATATTTTGCACTTTGTTGCGTTAAAGGGGGGCAGCCATCCTCTGACGACTTGGCCAGGGCGTCGAGGTCGACCTGTATGGTCAATCCGAGGGCTCAGTCAGGGGCCGTGGGACACAACTGTGTATCTCAGCGTCATCCGCGAGCATCTTCATCACGCTTCGCACGTGATCTGGCTGGTCGTTCACAAATATTATGAATAGCGTTGGTCTCAGCACTGATCCTGGCGGGAGACCGCTGATGACGTCGATCGTATCCGATTTCGAGCCCTGGGGCTGCGCGCTCTGCATCCGTTGGGTAAGGAAAGCCCTGATCCAGTAGAGCTAGTTACCTTTCACACCGTTGGTATGGAGCTTGGAGAGCAGGCATTTGTGAGGCAGGGAATCAAAAGCTTTGCTGAAATCCAGATACGTCACGTCCACCGGCTCTCCATCCTCTATCGCGGCATTCCAATCTTCCATGACTTCTAATGGCTGGGTGATGTAGGACCGCTTTGGAGAAACCCATTTTGAGCTGCACGGAGAAGCCCAGACTCCAGGTAGTGGTTGATGAGGGCATCTCTGACGACAGGTTTGAGTGCCTTGGAGTAAACAGCAGTAAAACTCATTGGGTGGTGGCTCACTGGGGACGGTCGGTTACCTTTCTTGAAGTCCGGGACTACCTCACCAAGCTTCCACTCCTGGTGTAGCCTTCCGGATGCCGGTGATTTTCGGGAAGCGTGCTCAGGGGTTAAGCCAGGACATATGCAGAATCACGAAGAAGCCTTGGGTGTACATCATCTGGCCAAGAGGTGCTAGAGGTGTTCTGAGCAGTCAATTTCTCTGTTATTGCCCGGGTGGGGATGTCCACATCATCTAGAAATGGTCCAGTAGAGCTGCAAGACATCACAGGTATGGTACTAGACCTTTCATCCATAAAAACACTGGTCAAGAATTTACAGAGAATATTGTCTTTTCCTTCATTGCTACAATCATCATCAAGAAGGTCTTCTACCTTGCATCTTGGGCATAGTCTTGAGTTGGCATACCTCTGAAAGACCTGGGAGTTTCTTTGAGGTCTGCTACTAGTTTCATCTCATGCACTTTTCAAAGATGTCTGGTCAACTTTTTAAGGTCATTGCAGCACCACACAAATTTGGCATGGTCAAGAATATCCTGTCTCTGCATGTTTGTGTGTCATAGTCTTTTCTTACTGATGTTTAGCTGTGTGGCCCATGGGTTCATGCACAGGTTCTTCTTTGGTCTAGTCATTCTCTTGACAGAGCAAAGCTCAATAGCCCTGATGATTTTCTCCTTAAAGAGCTTGTAGGCTTCTTGGAGGCTGAATTTCTACATCAGGGACCAGTCCATTAACCTTAGGATGTCTGATAGGTGCTCATAATTTGTGTGTATCAGCTGTCCTGGATGAAGAGGTTGCATATGTTGTCTGATGGACTCCTATATATGCAGCCAAGTATGAAGGTGCGCTTCCCTTTTCAGGCCATTTTCAGCCATACTTGCTCTAGGGTACTTGACTCAAATGGGCATTCAGCTGCATTTAGTAGGTTGGACACATAGACACATATGCCTCTGTTTCCACTAGATTGCAGGTTGGCCAGAGGTGGATTCAAGTTTGTGTACAGGGTGTACCCAAATACCATTGGGGTGATGTTGCAATAGGGACCTTTAAGGCTATGGGAGGGCCTTGTCAAAAGTGTATCTGGCTTGCTGTCACAAATATGCACACACGAATCACCCCTTTTAATAAGGAACTGGTCTGCATTGTTGTGTAATACCTCCAGACCTTGATTTCCCCTGTGCTGTGTGACATTGTGTAGTCATTGTGGTCCTGGAGAGCCAGCATAGGCTTGAGCCTGAGTGCGACGACCCATGGATCCATCCTGAGTGACTGTGGTCACTGGGGTGCTGACCTGTCAGGGTCCCCAGAACCTCTAGGACCCTAGGTGGGGTGACCCATGGATCCATCCTGAGTGACTGTGGTCACTGGGGTGCTGTCATGTGAGGGTCCCCAGAACCTCTAGGACCCTAGGTGGGGTGACCCATGGATCCATCCTGAGTGACTGTGGTCACTGGGGTGCTGACCTGTCAGGGTCCCCAGAACCTCTAGGACCCTAGGTGGGGTGACCCATGGATCCATCCTGAGTGACTGTGGTCACTGGGGTGCTGACCTGTCAGGGTCCCCAGAACCTCTAGGACCCTAGGTGGGGTGACCCATGGATCCATCCTGAGTGACTGTGGTCACTGGGGTGCTGTCATGTGAGGGTCCCCAGAACCTTTAGGACCCTAGGTGGGGTGACCCACTTTACCCTCACCATCAGTCTCCAGTACAGGGGGCAGCCACTTGGGTGCCTGTGGAGTGCCATCTCATCTCTCATCTCATCTGATACTATCTCATGCATATATATGCCTGCTTGCCTATATGGGTTCCTTGTCTGATAGCCTGAGTATTATACTTGATTAGAAGCTAGATTGTGTCATAGTGCCTCTATTTCACCTCCTCACATTTACTCATACGTATGATGACTTTTGCAGGACATTCTGTATCAGTTACTACAAACATACATCTGGAAGCCTGTTGCAAACACAAAATTGAGAGAAGACTGCTCTCTGCCAAGAGGAACATTTTTGCTTGAGTTGGAGGAATAAGAACTGTTTGCTAATATTGTAGACTGAGTGTGCACCACCATGGGAAAGAAGCCAAGGAAAGGTATGCATGGCAATGACATAGGTAATGTGATGCAATATGGATTCAAAAGTAAGGGCATGCCAGAAGGGCGAGATTTTCTTAGATTAGCACTTGCACCAGTCCATAGGGATGGGTACCTTTGCAGATCTGGTAATTGTTCAGTTAAGAAACTGGTAAGTAGTACCAGTTAGTACCATCATCATGCTGGCCACAGGCTATCATTCCCAACTTTGTGCTATTGAAGCCCTGACATGTTGAGCACAGGCACTGCTTCAGTAGGCCAGTGATAGGTCAAGCCTAGCTATTGATATTGTGGTGCCGAAATCTGACATTCCTCATGCATAGTAGCAATACCAAGGTTAGCACTATCTACATGCCGGATCCAGTATGGGGTTGTGCGTGCTATGACTGATTCCATTTGACATGCCGTGTGAGGCCCAGTGTAGGCCTTGTGCTCCTCTGCTCTGCCTGCAGTTACATGTAACATGCGTACGTTTTTTTCCAAATGAATAACAAGAGATCATAATCAGTCAGGCCTCACACAGGTACGTGGAGTCCTTCAGTGACTGGCAAGGTACAGCAGTGCATGCCTTGGCTTGGGTAGCGTAAGAAGTCTAGACTCAGCCTGGCTAACACACTGTGTGTCGTCCACCAGCCGATCATCGGTCTAAAGAAGAGCTGCAGCTGCAGGCGATTGGCGACATAATTGGTGAGCTGATCGACGCACACCGGCAAAAGAAGGATGTAAATCTCAGCCGGATGAAGACGAGGATCTCGTCCCACTACGGCTTGGACTCGTCGCCTCGCCTGGTGGACATCATCGCGGCCGTGCCCCAGCAGTATCGCACCGTCCTAGTGCCCAAGCTCAAGGCAAAGCCCATCCGAACGGCCAGTGGGGTAGGCAATGCAGACTTGTTGGTTTCCTACGGACCATCTGTAGATTGCACCTGAGTCTTCGTTCGACCTCGTTCCAGTTTGCTTGCAGTTGTTTCCATGTTTGATGGACAGGTTATTGGTCGAACTTTGACTGTGGCTCTAATCGCCATAGCACAACATCAGGTCAGCTCCAGTTTACTGCATATGTGAGCGGGCGGGATGTGAGCTTCTGTTAATTAACGTTCTCGTTTGTGGGTGCGGACATTGATAACTTCATATTCTCTGACTTCGCGATGTTCGCGAAGTTCGCGACGAACGGAAATTGTTTCGCACATGTCGGATACTTGTTCGAAGAAGGAAATGCGATCATGCACCTTGTCGCGGTACAGCGAGCTGAAGCGAGCGTGTTTCGCATTTGTCGGATACTTGTTTGAAGAAGGAAATGCGATCATGCTCCTTGTAACGGTATAGCGAGCTGAAGCGAGCGGCCCGTTTTCCCCGGCGACGTCAGATTGCGGTGGTGGCGGTGATGTGCAAGCCGCACCGCTGCCCGCACATCAGCATGACGGGCAACATCTGCGCGTACTGTCCGGGCGGGCCCGACTCCGACTTCGAGTACTCCACGCAGTCGTACACGGGGTACGAGCCGACCAGCATGCGCGCCATCCGGGCCAGGTACAACCCGTACCTGCAGACCCGGCACCGGGTGGAGCAGGTGAGTGGGCCGGCTGCAGAACCCCTTGTTGCGCACCGGGGGTGCACTAGTGAGGCATGGTCCCGCGGGGCGGAGGGGGGGGGACACAGGGCGCACTGGTGAGACACGATGCCGGGGGGGGGGGGGGGGGCACAGGGCGCTTTGGTGGGGGACGGTGCCGCGGTAGCAGAAGTAACCTGCTATAGCTCAATGCTCCCTTTGCTGCTGGTGGAAGCTGTGCGCTGGCGGACTCGTTTCCACGGGTGTGGTCCTCCCGACTCGCAGCGTGACCAGGATGAATAGTGGGCAGAATGTGGAGGGAAGGGGCAGTGATGACATCAGTGAAAATGTCTGGTGCATGAGCTGATTTAAGTCATAACTAAGAATGTGGAGGGAAAGAGCAGTAATGACATCAGTGAAAATGGCTGATGCATGAGCTGATTTAATTAATAACTAACTGACTTGTGTAATCACCCGGACCATCCAGCCTTCATTTCAGCACCCTTAAAAGATGATCGTGGAAAATCATCGTCCGTTTTTTGCCTCCTCGAATGATATGTCAGCGAATATAAATTATGACCTACATTGATATATTAGTATCTACGAGTGTATGCTCCAAAGTATAGCTGCAAAACCGTATCTGAAATCGCGCTCTATTCAGGTATTTTGGGGGTCACTTTCCAGAAATGATTGTGGCAGGTTCCAACAGAAGTTTTATAGTTTTTGAACCCTTTCTTTCAATGCATTGCAGCGCGTTGACATTGACCTTTTGTTAGATTATGAAATCATCTTGGGGATGGGTATAGCCCCCATTGACATGCAAAATGACACCTGAACCCCCAGCACTTCACTTACAGCCAGTATGTTTCTCCAGCTGAAGCAGCTGGGTCACAGCGTGGACAAGGTCGAGTTCATCGTGATGGGCGGCACGTTCATGGCTCTGCCGGAGGACTATCGCGACTTTTTCATCCGAAATCTGCACGACGCCTTATCAGGACATACGAGCGGCTCCGTCCAGGTACAGTGTGCTGCTTAGTGTCCCTGTCCAGGTGCAGTGAGATGCTCAGTGTCCCTGTCCAGGTGCAGTGAGATGCTCAGTGTCCCTGTCCAGGTACAGTGCACCGCTCAGTGTCCCTGCCCAGGTGCGGTGTGCCGCTCAGTGTCCCTGTCCAGTTCAGGGAGGCGGGGTAGCGATCAGGAGGTTCACTGGAGGTGCGCAGGATGATGTTATGAGAGCAGCTCCACGTGGTTATCATTTATGTGCACACGAACATGTGGTTAGGTTTCTAGGTAGTCAATTACGCACCATCGTATGATCAAGGTTCGATAGTTGTAATATGCGATCAGCGATTGCTGATCACGTGTTCAGAAGCCCCGCTCGAATGCAACAGAACGCGCACTGCCTGCTGCCCGTCCGTAAGCCGTTGGTGGCGGTCGACCGTCAACGCATGTCCTGGGCCACCAACGAGGGAAGTCATTGTGCGCAGCGAGGTACGCAAACATAGGAAAACGTATTTGTGTTCGGCCCGATGTGCCAAATGAAGGCGGCGTCCGTCTGAGCGGGGCGTGGTGGGATGCGTGTCGGGCCGAACGTGTGCGCGCGGGCCGCTGTGCGGCAACGGCCGTCCGCGCGGCCGCGGTCAGCAGCGTGCCCTCGCCCCGCGGTCAGCGCGGCCGCGGTCAGCAGCGTGCCCTCGCCCCGCGGTCAGCGCGGCCGCGGTCAGCAGCGTGCCCTCGCCCCGCGGTCAGCGCGGCAGCGGTCAGCAGCGTGCCCTCGCCCCGCGCAGGAGGCGGTGCAGTACTCCGAGCGCAGTCGCACTAAGTGCATCGGCATCACGATCGAGACGCGGCCCGACTACTGCCTGCGCCGCCACCTCAGCGACATGCTGCTGTACGGCTGCACGCGGCTGGAGATTGGCGTCCAGGTGAGCCGGCCTCCGACCGCCGCCAGCCGCTCGGCTCTCCCGCGCTGCCCCCCCCCCCCCCCCTGTCCTTGTCAGGGAGCCGGCCTCTAACCGCCGCCAGCCGCTCGGCTCTCCCGCGCTGCCCCCCCCCCCCCCCCCCTGTCATAGGCAGGGAGCCGGCGCGGCGTCCTCCCCGCCGGCTAGGGCAGTGCGCGGCCCGAACACCGCCCAGGGTTGCTGACGTGGTCTTGCCAGCGGTGACGCGGACTCAGTACATTAATGGGGATCTGGCCGCCGCTGGTCTCCCCGTGAAGACTGTTTTAGGCGGATTGTCTGGCTGGAGCCGTGTTCGGCAGTGTGTCCTGCAGCCGACGCTACCAGCGTGTGATTATCTTCGGACTTGTGGTCGGTCGTGGCGGGGTGCGACTGAGTTTGGCTGGTACTGGAGACACAGTTGCAGCGCTGCGTCCGGTGACCGATGGCCGCTGTGGTGGCGCGTGCTAACCGGCCGGCCCGCGCCCAGTCGGTGTACGAGGACGTGGCGCGCGACACCAACCGCGGCCACACGGTGCGCGCCGTCTGCGAGAGCTTCCAGATGAGCAAGGACGCCGGCTTCAAGGTGGTGGCGCACATGATGCCCGACCTGCCCAACGTCGACCTCGAGCGCGACATACAGCAGTTCGTGGTGAGTTGTGCGTGTCGATGGCGAACGTGAGCGGCGCATGCACGCACTGTCAAGAAGTGGTATGTGGATCTGGATGGACGAATGCCTTCAGTTGGTGATCGTGAGACCTGAAATGGTCGGCACACTGTTTTGAACGGGATCCCGAGGTGATCTAGTATCGCAGCCGTGCCGCGCCACCTGAGCGGCCGCTTGCCATCTTGTGAGGATCGAATGTGGCCACCGGTCCGTGTGTGCGCCTCAGTCGCGGTCACGGCGTCCGGCCGCGCCTGTCGCCGCGACGCCTCCGCCATCGCGCCGCTCACCCGCGCCCCCACCCGGGCAGGAGTTCTTCGAGAACCCGCAGTTCCGCGCCGACGGTCTCAAGATCTACCCGACGCTGGTGATCCGCGGCACGGGCCTGTACGAGCTGTGGAAGACGGGCCGCTACCGCAGCTACCCGCCCAGCGCGCTGGTGGACCTGGTGGCGCGCGTGCTGGCCCTGGTGCCGCCCTGGACCCGCGTCTACCGTGTCCAGAGGGACATACCCATGCCGCTGGTCTCGTGAGTCACACGGCCCGGACCCGAGGCCTGCCAGCTGTGTGTGTGGGGGTGAGAACACGGACCTAATACTGTTCGTCTCGTGAGTCACACGGCCCGGACCCGAGGCCTGCCAGCTGTGTGTGGGGGTGAAAACACGGACCTAATACTGTTCGTCTCGTGAGTCACACGGCCCGGACTCGAGGCCTGCCAGCTGTGTGTGTGGGGGTGAGAACACGGACCTAATACTGTTCGTCTCGTGAGTCACGCGGCCCGGACTCGAGGCCTGCCAGCTGTGTGTGGGGGTGAGAACACGGACCTAATACTGTTCGTCTCGTGAGTCACACGGCCCGGACTCGAGGCCTGCCAGCTGTGTGTGGGGGTGAGAACACGCACCTGATACTGTTCGTCTCGTGAGTCACACGGGCCGACCTCAAGGCCTGCCAGCTGTGTGTATGTGTGGGGGGGGGGGGGGGGGGCGGAAACACGCGCCTAAAAATGCCCGTCTCGTGAACAGCCGGGACAGGCCTTAGGCTATTTCCATCCTGCATATAAATACGGTGACTTTAGCACTCTTCTCTTGACTACGGCGTCTATGGCACCTTTGGGGCCTTTGGCGACTTTGGCTCCCCCGCGCCGTCAGGTCGGGCGTCGAGCACGGTAACCTGCGTGAGCTGGCGCTGGCGCGCATGCGCGACCTGGGCACCACGTGCCGCGACGTACGCACCCGCGAGGTCGGCATCCAGGAGATCCATCATAAGGTCCGGCCCTACCAGGTCAGTGCAGAGCGGAAGCTTACAGGGTCGGGTCCTGCCAGGTCAGTGCGGAGCAGAAGGTTACACGGTCGGGCCTTATGAGTTCAGTGCGGAGCAGATGCTGGCAAGGTCCGGCCCTACCAGGTCAGTGCAGAGCAGAAGGTTACAAGGTCGGGCCCTGCCAGGTCTGTGCAGAGAAGATGCTGGCAAGGTCCGGCCCTGCCAGGTCAGTGCAGAGCAGAAGGTTACAAGGTCGGGCCCTGACAGGTCAGTGCGGAGCAGATGCTGGCAAGGTTCGGTCTTACCAGGTCAGTGTGGAGGAGATACCTGACGACCGAGGGCGGTGACTGGATGGGCACTGAACGCGTGTGTGCGCACAAATGCAGCTATCTGAATGCGTTTGTGAAGTGCCTTGCTCGACGTTGACCCGGTGTGCTGTTCGCTCTGCACCTCCCCCCCCCCACCCCTCCCACCCCCACCCCCACCCCCACCCCCACCCCCATCAGTTGTTTCTTCCTAATCCTGTTCGTTTTGACCGCTTCGCCCATCTGGCTGCTGAGTGACCTCGCCCCCCCCCCCCCCTGGCTGACTGGCTGTTACCTCTTTATGTGTATGTGCCGCCCGTCTCGCTGCTAACCGTGACTTCGCCGCCCCTTGGCTGACCGGTTATAATCTTCCCCCACACGTGCGTGTCCCGCCCGTCTGGCCGCTGACCGTGACCTCGCCTCCCCCCTGGCTGACCGGTTATAATCCCCCCGCACGTGTCCCGCCCGTCTGGCTGCTGACCGTGACCTCGCCTCTCCTGGCTGACCGGTCGTGACCTTCCCCCGTGCGTGTCCCGCCCGTCTGACTGCTGACCGTGACCTCGCCTCCCCCTGGCTGACCGGTTGTGACCTTCCCCCGTGCGTGTCCCGCCCGTCTGGCTGCTGACCGTGACCTCGCCTCCCGTGGCTGACCGGTTGTGCCCTTCCCCCGTGCGTGTCCCGCCCGTCTGGCTGCTGACCGTGACCTCCTCCCCCGTCGCTCGCAGGTGGAGCTGATCCGCCGTGATTACGCGGCCAACGGCGGCTGGGAGACATTCCTCTCGTACGAGGACCCCGACCAGGACATCCTGGTGGGCCTGCTCAGGCTCCGCAAGTGCTCGGCCGAGACGTTCCGGTGAGCGGGCGCCGGCTGGCGATCAGGGGGGTCTTCTGCTGACTGTCCTTTGTCGCACGCGGCTAGTACTAATGAATATCTATCAGGACATTACCGACATTGACGATGCTCCTCATTAACGATCATGTTATGGTCCACGGATATGCGAATGGACTACGCGATGCTATAATGTCTCTACCCTAAGGGCATCGTGGTTAGACACCACCATTGTACGTTCACTACTCTGCGCATTGCGTGTGACAGCAGCACCTGTGCGCGCCCCCAGGCCGGAGATGAAGACAGCCACGTCGGTGGTGCGCGAGCTGCACGTGTACGGCTCGGTGGTGCCCGTCTCCAGCCGCGACCCGACCAAGTTCCAGCACCAGGGCTTCGGCACGCTGCTGATGGAGGAGGCGGAGCGGATCGCGCGCGACGAGCACGGCGCGGCCAAGATCTGCGTCATCTCCGGTCAGTCGACGGCGGCGCCGCGGCGCTCGGCCCGGGCGCTCAGGGTGATCGTCGGAATCGCCCTGACCGCCCGATCGTCATCAGTCATTATCGTTCCGCTTTCAGGCGTTATTGAGTAGTTTGAGGCGGAAAGGGGTCATGCTCAACCTGCTTTTGGGTTAGTTTTGCGGAAGAATTGAAACGAGGCATCAGTACCACTGGTGGAATAATTGTTCGGAGTATCGTCCACAGGTGGTGTTAATGTGACAGCACACCAGACGAGGACGGTAGTCCGAACCATATCTGTCCAGACGAGGACGGTAGTCTAAACCATATCTGACCAGACAAGGACGGTAGTCCGAACCATATCTGTCCAGACGAGGACGGTAGTCCGAACCATATCTGTCCAGATGAGGACGGTAGTCCGAACCATGTCTGTCCAGACGAGGACGGTGGTCCGAACCATATCTGTCCAGACGAGGACGGTAGTCCGAACCATATCTGTCCAGACGAGGACGGTAGTCCGAACCATGTCTGTCCAGACGAGGACGGTGGTCCGAACCATATCTGTCCAGACGAGGACAGTAGTCCGATCCATATCTGTCCAGACGAGGACGGTAGTCCGAGCCATATCTGTCCAGACGAGGACGGTAGTCTAAACCATATCTGACCAGACAAGGACGGTAGTCCGAACCATGTCTGTCCAGACGAGGACGGTAGTCCGAACCATATCTGGCCAGACGAGGACGGTAGTCCGAACCATATCTGTCCAGACGAGGACGGTAGTCCGAACCATATCTCTCCAGACGAGGACGGTAGTCCGAACCATGTCTGTCTTGTAGTAATTTGTTGGGTACTGATGACACCGAAATCCACTACAGCCGCTGCTTGTGTGGCCCAGCACCGTGATCGCAGCACCGGTACTAACTGGTCCGTGATGTGGTGCCCATCTGTGAACGTTCACCCTGGTGCGCGGTCTAGCCGGGCCGACCTTCTGACGTCCGCGCCGCCCGCTGCAGGGGTCGGCACGCGCAACTACTACCGCAAGCTCGGCTACGAGCTGGATGGGCCGTACATGTCCAAGTCGCTGAGCTGAGACGCCTCCGGCTGCCGGCGCGCCGTGCCGCCCCGCTCACGCACGCAGGCCGGCGGCGCGCGTCCTGCCGCGGTGGGCCGCTGGAGTTCGCCCCGCCGTGGAACTTCCGCAGAGCGGCGGAGGCGCAGGGTGATCAGTGCAACGTCTGTGATTGAGCTGCCCTGATCGATTGCCACCGCTCGCCTCTGTGCGCAGCACATGATGTGGTTGGGTGGAAGGCGCGTGTTTTCGAACTGCGCGTCTGTTTGACGCGGGGTACGCTGTGAGCATCGGTGGACATGTCGCTGTGGCACGGGCCCCGAATATCGATGTGCGGTGTTTGTTACCTATGTATGAAATGCAAACTTGACGGCGCTTCGTTGATAGATTGGTGCGGACTGATGGTTTACTGGAAGCTGGCCGTATGCATGTTATTTAATTGCACCTGGCGTGTAGTGACATGCGATGCCATTAATTGTAAAGTGACAGCTCATACTGACTTTCCCGACAGATTACGTGGAGCCAGTTGCGTGCGCAATGGAGTGAGGTGTTTGCTATGTGCAAAACAAACATTGCCCCGCCTGCCCAATAGGTGCCCGCAGTCTGGGCCCCATATCCCCAGCGGCGGTCATGGCCGTGCTGTTACTCTCGCATGTTCCTCGCCTTTCCAGTGGTGCGAAAACATACTTTGCGCCTCCTTTGTGTCAGGCGATAGCCCCAAGTTGGCGATTGTTATCTTCTGCATCTGCGCACTAGTGCAAATAGAGTCGACCCCGGAGCGACGTTCGCATCAAACTTGGCCGTGGCATGAAATGACAGTCGCTAGACGGGCGCGCTAAGACTGGATATGTGTCAGGATCTGGTGCTGACTTGCGACAATAAACCCGTCCTCCGGCGTTTTCGCGTGCAATGCCATTTTTAGTACATTGGCTGGAGTCATCGACCATTAGTCTGAGATCAACAAAAAAGGTGAAAGTGGAATTAAACAACCCACATACTTGCTCAGACAGCTTACATGTGCAGTGTCTTTAGCGGAACTGTGTCTTGCATGCTCAATAGGTATACTCGGCCCCAATGTACTGCACTCGAGATTTGGTAACAGGTCGACAGCGGAAGCAAATTGTGCTTCGGTCGGTATGATTGAAACCGATCCACGTGGCGAGAGCGAGTGGTCGGCGAGGGGCACAACCTTCTCCACAGTTTGTGGATGTTGAGCCGTGAATCAGATTACATCGTGTTGTGGTCGCCAGAAATTTACTGCCTTATGCGTACTGTGCATGCTGCCATCTGCTTCGTAGTAATTTACTTCTAGTGGGAGCCGGGCTACAAAACTGGGTCTTTTAAATATGGGTGCGTGTAAATTCATCCACGAATGGATCTACTCAAAACAGCACACAGAAGTGTGGTTTGTGTAAATCGACTTAAATCTGACATGATATACAAAGGGAGGCCGTTTTCAGTAAAGTGGCTTTCGAGTCGGTATACACGTTCCCTGTCTTAACATTTGCAGCACATTAGTACTGCACCTTGGGACGTTACACGCTCCTACAACGCGCGCCAGAATTGTAAACTTCCACCCGGCTGTATACATCGCCCTCCACCCGGCAGCGCACGAGGCAGGGAGAGAGCAGGGGGAAGGGCGATATACTGTCCGTGTTTCGGTAAGGTGCGGGGTTTCATGTGCTCAACTGCTCCTTGTTTTAAACTTGAGCCTAGCTTTTTTAGCCAGGGCCATGATAACTTATGCTAGGCATTGTTTCAGCTTTGAAAGAGGATATGGATATCGTGGATATGGATGGATATCAACATTTATTTTGCTATGCATGACGAGCATTGCATCACGTATGAGGGCCTATGAAACTGGTGTTTTAAAATTTGAATCTGTTCGTGAAAAGTTAGCTTCAATAGACAGCAATTTGGCATTGGCTGGTTTTGTGTTGTCATAATTAGCACATTCTGTAAGAAGTCAAATTTTTGAAATTACATGTTGGCATATGATAATCATGTTCAACCAATGCCAATCAAATCCTGGGCAAAATTAACATTTCAACTCAAGTAATATTTTGCACAATCTCTAATGTCCTGTGATGCATGCTTCTGCCCCCTCCCCACTGTTCAAAATGGCAAACTGCCAATGGTGGTTCTATGCATGTCAGTTCATAAACTGCAGGAATTAATTAAGAAACACTGAAAAACTTGCTGATATGTATAGATATATAATATATGCATCCAATGAATATGAAGATAGTAAGAAATGTAATGCAGAACATTCTGAGTGCAGCATGCTGCAAAAGGTATCTACCTAATCCACCCATTTGGTACAGGGTTTGAAGTGCCTGATTATTGCTAGCAGTACTGTCATTAATTTGGTACCACAGACATTTTATGTGGATATATTAGGGTGTCTGTAGACCGCTAAAGTATGGATCAACACCAGTGATTGTGGTCTAGCATGTCTTGCCCTATAGTTAGTTGCATGTATTTCCCCAAGGTCCCAGTTATGAGCAAGTTATGGAACAGCAATAGGGCAAAATAAGATAAAGGTAACAAGTTTCACATTGTCTTGTTTTGTTCAAGCCATCAGTGACATCAAAACTCAGCTTAAAATAACTAAATTTTGAGGATGCCTCTACACAGTATAAAATTTCCTGCACTGCAAACTGAAGTGGACTGAAATCATATCCAACACACACCATACAGTTGTGAGGTCTGCTAACATCATGCTTGTTCTGGTCACTTTCACATTACAACTGGAGTAACTGGAATGTGGGAACTCTGGCTTCCAATTGCAGAACAGCTCAGTGGAGAGAAGGATATCACACTTCTTCATCATGTAGACAGTGATCAGGTTGATCCTTTTCCCATCAAGGTGCTGGGAGGGATTCCTGGTTAATGAGCAGGTGTTCATGGCCTGCTCTATGGTCACCCCCTTGGTCATAAGGAAGTATGTATGTGCATGAATGAGATGAGGCCCACAAGTTTGTCTTTAATGCACCAGAGGTAATTCCGCTTGATGTGTTGCTCTGGAAAGCCTCTGGTCACTGTACTTGTACTGTCAGTGATGAAGTCAATGTCATTGGTAGGGGTGGTGGATGGAATTATGGCCTTATTCTGGTGGTGGATATAGATCAGGGCCATAAAGCAGCCCATCTGCTATCCACCAATCCAGTTCACCATCTACCTCACCATGCAGCACACTCCAGGAGCTATGAAGGCCTCCTTTGAGATTTCCCCTTGGAAAATCAGGGACAGGTTCACCATCTCTGTAGTTTTTTTTTTGCTGGTGGTATATTGTTACATGTACACACTTAAGACATACCATCACTTCCTGGTGACAAGAAATGCAACTCAGCAGGCATTGCTTGGGCTTCAGATTGGTCGATGAAATGTCACAGTGTTTGCAGCCTCTTAAAGAGAGCAATGTTTGGTCCTGACAGTGGGCCAGGGCACACATCAGAACTCTTATCCAGACAAGTTCGCTCGGGAGCCCGGGCAAAAATTTTCAGAAAACGTTTGCACCGACCAGCAATGCATGCAGCATTGGACAGTTGGGTTTCTGGCTTCAAAACCAAATTTGAGGCAGAGTCAGTGGAATGAAGTTGAAACTGGTGGCCTTGGAGCTACGAACTGTGAGACTGGAGCCAAACCTAGTGGCTTCATGTTGAAAAAGACACAAAACCGAGGTGGAGGCCAGTTACTTCAAGTTTTATTTTTGACGCGCGAAGCCGATGCCAAAGTGAGAAATTTCAATCTTAGGAAATGCTATGCAAAATCTATCTCCTTCTTTTTAAGATTACGTGTATGAAGATCCCGGTCTAGCATACATTTCTTTGCCATGTACAAAGTATCGCGTTTGCCAAACCTATGTGGGATAGTGTGGGATCATGTGGGACCATAAAGATATGAGATCATGTGGGATCATTAACATATGACTCTGGTTTTGGAGGTAATTGAGAAGAGATGTTAGTGTTGCAGGTTAAATTTTTCGCACTGCGGTCATCATGTGTATGGTAGTATGCACACAACATTTTCGGGCATTCCGCTTTGGCCGTCGATAGGTGTGAATTGACCCTGGGAGTGACTGGCGGAGTCTTAGCTACAGCCTTTGTATGTATCACAGCCTTGAAAAGTCATAGTGGAATGTTGGGCAAGGCTGTTTAAGCAAAGTACAGTTGCAGGTACAGTGTAAAATGAATCACGACAAAGCTGAGGCAAACAGTTTAAGATAGAAGGAGAGAATATAGCTGGAGGCAAACCATCATTCAGAAACAGAAAAAGACTAGCTTCAAACCGCAGTCACAATTTGAAAAGTATTTGAATCGGAAGCCAGAGCTGATGGTATGTCCTAGAAATGATGAAGCTGAAGCTGAACCTAATCGCTTAAAATGGCATGGAGCGGAAGCTGAAGCTGCACCAGCAGTAAAAATGGCTCATAGCTGAAGTCATAGCCAAAATATTTGAAGTTTGAAAGGAAACTGCAGCTTTACAAAGCAAAAACTAGGGCTAGCTTCATACCCATGCCTGGCAAATGCAGGACCATTCGTTTTATTTTTCAATCAAGCCTTAAAACATGTCCACATGGCCACCATCTTGCTAGAAATCCCTGCTATCCCAGTTCCAGTATCATATTGGAACAACCTTTGTGCTACTGCTATGTCCTCTGATGGCAGGCCAGGGAGAGAACGGCACTGTGCGCCACAGTGCTGGTCCGTTGGTTTGCAGTTAGTTAGAATGTAGTCTAATTCTGAAAAAAAAGTTAGAGAGCCATGGGGCATGCTGCGTTGAAAAGCACAGTTTTTTTCTCCCAGTAGCCAGCCCATATTGTTAAAATACGCTTACATGTAAACGTAGTATGTTTTCTCTAATTACAAATAACTTAGCCTTTGTGGTTTTACAGGCTGACTACCACTCCCACTGAGGGCCGGCCAAAAATAGTTTACTCTGTGCATGGGAAAAGGTCGAAAAGTCATCCTTGCCTACCCTGCCCCTCATTGAACAGCAGATTTAGGGTATGACAAGTTGGTGGGGCATACTCATGTGTTACAGCATAAAAACATACGCACCCGCACACACACACACACTCAGGACCCCACATCGTCGTCCACATTTCTGCACCTGGTAATACCCATGTCATTATGTATCTACCCCTGCAAAGTTTTCTTTCTGGTGGGATATTGCAACTGATTTTTCTTTAATTTAGACCTGTTAAAAATGTCTCAGGTCAAATTCTGAGTCGTTTTCCCCAAATACCGGATGGGAATACCAGGGATTCATCCATATTGTCTTTCTTTGCCCATGCATGATGTGTGCATTAGCATAGCAAAGTGGCCAGCAGTGGGTTAATGACTATCATTTGAGCAAGGTCGCTCCAGTTTCAACACAGAAACTAATGTTGAATGACAACCCTTTTTTCTGTTTCAGGTGTGTTCTCATTCTGCCTGATGCAATCATAGTGAAGAAGGCATGGCGAATCGTACGGTGAAAGATGCAACATCGATCAAAGGAACTAATCCGCAGTACTTGGTTGAGAAGATTATTAGATCAAGAATATATGATAGTCGTTATTGGAAGGAAGAATGTTTTGCACTGTCAGGTAAGGTGGAATCAAAACCTAAATGCATGTATGGAGTGCCTTTAGCAACACAACAGGCACAAACCCACACCTGGGAACATGAAGCAGATATTCCATCAGAAGCAACATTTTCAGATCACACTGTGTAGATTTTCCTCTGTAATGAGCCATCCCATAGATCATGTGATGTACTTTGGAGCATCAAATGCTGTCTAATCTGTGGCAGGATGTGTGCTGGCATGTAAAAAAAAAACATGGGGTACCCTCTACCTGTATGTGGCTCATACTTCTGGGGCAGCACAGAACATGACAGTACTCTGCTCACCATGTCCTTGAGTCTGTAATATTCTGATGTCACATAAGCCGCCTGTGGTAATAGAAAAATGGCATGGGCAGCGTTGGCACACATGTCTTGTCTTTTTCACCAGCCGAGCTGCTGGTGGATAAAGCAATGCAGCTGAAGTACGTCGGAGGCGTCTTTGGAGGCAACATCAAGCCCACACCATTCCTCTGCCTGGTGCTGAAGATGCTGCAGATCCAGCCTGAAAAGGATATTATTGTGGAATTTATTAAGAATGAAGATTTCAAGTAAGTCCCTGGTTTTGCTGTTGCATTATTTGTCCTGCTATGTTATGGCGAACCTCTGCATTTGAGTATGAAATGAAGATATCTTTCTGTAGGGAAAAAGTTCTTTAACTGATCGAGCCAGTCTCTTTGGGCTTGCTTTGTTAGTGGCAATGTCCTACACCAAGCCTTGCTACATGCTCCTCCATTGGAATCAATTTTGGAGGGTGGAATTTTGTCACACTTGACCCAGTCATGCAGTAGTGCAAAATTCATTGACAGTTTTGACCTTTGGTGGGTGTTGGTTGTTGAAGGAACATCCAAATTCTAGGAGTATGTGTGATATATTGTGCATTTCTAGCGCAACAATTTGATCAAAACCATTAATGGTTTGTAAGCCAGCTGTGTGGCACAGGCAGATGCTTGCGCGCCTGTCTGGACTGCACACTCCCTCTCTGTTGGCAGATACGTCCGTGCGCTGGGGGCGTACTATATGAGGCTAACAGGCACCTCACTGGACTGCTTCAAGTACCTGGAGCCACTGCTCAACGACTACCGGAAACTGCGGTCTCAGAATCGACAAGGCGGTAAGGACGCTAGCGGTGTGTGACAAATGAGTTTGTTACTTCAGAGATGATCATCGTGAAGTTTTGGGCCATTCTCATGTTGTTTGACCCCGGTTTACCTGGCTTATTGAACTATATCCTCACATCGTCATTGCGGCTTTACGACGCACTCAGCTGTTAAGGTTATATAGTGTCTCTTGCCAATCACACTGGCAGAAAGGACTGCCACCGAATGGAATGGAACCACGTACCTACGGTTCCCTAGACGCGCAGCTTAACTGTTACACTACTGGTACCTCAATATATATATATATATATATATATATATATATATATATATATATATATATATATATATATATACATACATGTGTATGTATGTAGGGTACCTCACCAGCAGCTGCACCAGCAGGATAAAGAACAGAGCAGTGGAAGGGTAGATAAAATAGCACTTCGTGCCTCCATTGAATGCAATTTGCCCAAAACATACCAATTATCAGTGTTCATTTTGGCACCGGTGCCGTGAATGGCCCTGTTGTGCACGTGCAGACGTGATCGCCAACGGTCAGTCCGACCGCTGTCCGCGCGCGTGACCTCTAACCCGTCGTTCCGCCGCAGTGTTCGAGCTCACGTTCATGGACGAGTTCGTGGACCAGCTGCTGCGCGAGGAGCGCATGTGCGACGTCATCCTGCCGCGCATCCAGCGGCGACAGGTGCACGAGGAGAACAACGAGCTGGAACCGCGCGTCTCGGCGCTCGACGACGACCTGGACGAGCTGGCCGAGTCGTCGGGCGAGGACGAGCCGCCGCTGCCGCCGCCGCTGCCGCCGCCGTCGCGGCAGAGCCCGCCGCCACCGCCGCCGCCGCTGCCGCCCACCTCCCGCCAGCACCGCCGCAGTCGCAGCCGCAGCAAGGGCCGCGCCCGCGAGCCTGGCCGGTCAGTGGGCCGGGGTCGGGGTTGGGGTCGGGATCGGGATCGAGATCGGGATCGGGATAGGGACCGGGATCGGGGTCGCGGTCGGGGCCGGCGCCGGGGCCGGGGCCGGGGCCGGGGCCAGGATCGGGATATGGGCCGAGGTCGGGGCCGGGGCCGGGGCCAGGATCGGGATCTGGGCCGGGATCGGGGCCGGGATCAGGGTCGAGGTCGCGGTCGGGTCCGGGATCGGGATTGGGATTGGGATCGGGATCGCAGTCGGGATCGCGGTCGGAATCGAGGTCTGGGTTAGGCTGGGAGCGGCCGCCGCCACGGCTGCGTGTATCGGTAGGTGCTGTGTGCCACCATCCTCATTGATACGGGATCCGCATTGATACCGCAGTCCAGTCTGGATGGTTGGTGCACCCCTGACTTGATTCGTAATGATACGAGACGTGTCGATATATGCGCCTTATGCAAATGAGCTGCATGCGGGGTGTTGTAAGATCTTGGTTTCGGAGCGCTGCATCGCGGGAGACCGGAATTTCCACGATCCTCGCAGCGATGCTGAGCGAGGCAGTCACTCGTTGATGTGTGCACGTGTGCTTAAATTTTAAACAGAATGTAGTTTAGGGTCACTTTTACGACCTGAGCATTGTCAGCATTTATCTGAGGCTCAGAATCTGACGTCGGTCCAGTCTGCCCGCCGCTATGCAGTGGGTATGACCTCATATCTGCTACTCCTCATTGCAGGCGGCGAGAGCACCGGGAACACCGCGGTGAGCACCGCAGCGACCACCGAGCCGATTTCCGCGGGGACCCGCGAGCAGAGCACCGGGGCGAGCGTCGGGAGCACCGGGAGCACCGCGCGGATTGGGCGGCTCCGGAGAGGCCGGAGAAGCGCCACCGCGGCGATTACGACAACCACCGCGAACACCGCGGCGACTACGACAACCACCGCGAGCACCGCGGCGACTACGACAACCATCGCGAGCACCGCGGCGACTACGACAATCACCGCGAGCACCGCGGTGAGCACGACGGCCACCGGGAGCACCGGAGCGAGCGGGAGCGGCGGGAGCACCGCGCCGAGCGGCGCCACCATCGCGAGGAGCGGCGCGAGGAGCGACGCGGCCGGCACCGCGGCGAGGAGGAGCGGCGCGAGATCGAGGAGGCTAACGCTCTGCGGGCCAAGCTGGGCCTGCCGCCGCTGCGGCCCTGAGCTGGTGCCGCGCTGGGAGACGCCGCAGGTCAGCGACGGGACTCGCGCCGTTCGCGGCCTGGCTGTGGAGCGGCAGGGCGGGCGGGACACGCCACTCGTCATGTCGCGTGTGTGGTGAGTGGTGTCCGCGTGCTGTCCGTGGCAAGGTAGGGGGAGAAGGGAGCGCTCCCGGCGGGCACGTCTCTCCGCGCGCACGGAGCGGGGGGGGGGGGGGGGGGTGAGCCGTGGGGGTGTGGCTGGTCTGGGCGGAGTGCAACCCTGTGGTCGGAGTGAGCCCGCGCTGACAGGGAGCAGGGGGGGGGGGGGGGGGGTGGCGTGCCGCTTGTTGTCGGGGTGCTGCGTCACATACAAACGCGTGGCAGGAATGGTGTACATCATCTCATTGCATCATGTAAATATAAGAAGCGTGGCCTGTTGCTGGGATGTATGAAGCTGTCGTGCCGTGGACTGTTCCTAGATTATGACGTAGGGGAGAGCAAAAACTGGGCGGGCGGGGAGCTTTTGACTACAACGGCGGACAATCGTGTGACAAGCTGGCAGGGCCACAGCGGGCGCGAGTTCGTGGCAGCACGAGCTGAGCTGTTGGCCGGGACAGCGTTACACCCTCGATTTGGTCAGAAGCAAGTGGGTTGGGTGGCGGCCGAGCTGGTTAAAGGCAACTACAAAATGTGCGATGAAGCACGCGTTGGTGGTAACGCTGCCAGTACTATGCCCACAGCAAAAACAAAAACAAAGATCCCCATGGCCAAGGGTGCATGAAAGTACATGGAACGGAGTGAAGTGAGTTACCAGCTGGCTGGGTCTGATAATGCTCAAGCCCTGCCTGCTCGACTAGATTTGGGACCACCCTACTGGCCGGGGGAGGCACCTTCACCATCGGGTGCAACGGTTGGGCGGAGGGGCTGAGGTGCCGGTTTCGGGCCGATTGACACCGAATGGCGCGTGTCACGCGGCGTAACCGGAGGTCTGCCGAGCTTGAACTGCCGCGGACAGAGGTCAGACGGACTTTCGCAGAGGGCAGGCGGACTAGCGTAGATGTCAGACGGACTACCGCAGAGGTCAGACGGACTATCGCAAAGGTCAGACGGATTATCGCAGAGGTCAGACTGACTATCGCAGAAGTTAGACGGACTATCGCAGAGGTCAGACGGACTATCGCAAAAGTCAGACGGGGTATCGCAGAGGCCTGTCCGCCGGTGGAAACATGGTCACCGGCGTGGTTCACAATCCATTTGGGTCGTGGCCGTCGTGTGGCGTGTCTCAGGCGCGTGAATTCTTTTGGACTGGAGCACCTCTGATTAGCTACCTCGTTGAGCCACCGCCATCAAATGTGGTGCGTAAGAGGGCTACCAGTGCGGGAACCCAGTGGTGTTAAGTAAATGAAAGATCGTTGATTTGATGGCCACACTAGGTGTCCGTACACGCTTTGCAACTCTATCCTGATCCGCAAACAATTCATAATATCAACGATGTGTGATCTGACCAAATAGGTCAGGATCAGAAGCCGCACTTGTAGACCTGTTCCCTCAGTGGCTCACGTGTGTGAAGATAGCAGCAGTTCGATATCCATATTCAGCAAAAGCAGACTCCCTCAATTTTATTGCAACTGAACTAATGGACAGTGCATGGACCACGTCATGATCTCATCCGAACGCATTTTGGGGCCTGAAACAGTCTGATCCCTAGAGTAAAATCGTGTCGGCTGAGAAATGTCTGCTTGAATGAGGTGTGCCATGCATTATTTGACTTGGAACGCCCTCCGGATTTCCAAAACGCCACTCTAGGTCCGGGAGGAATGTCGTGAGGGACGACGATCAGTTGGCACACGTAACTTATCCTTGCACTGGGACCAATTTTGGCGCATCGAGTACAAGGTTTTTGGCGGGCAAAACTAGTGCGTGGAGACGCCGTCTGTTTTAACCTATAACCCCTCCCACGGCTTCGCGTGCGCGTGCTGGTTAAAATGTCGTCAGACTCTTCTAACACCTTAAGCCCGAGAGAAAGCGGGAAGTATATAGCAGAACATGCCGATCATGTTACCATTGAAGATGCCGGGGTCGAAACTGCGGCCAAACTTGTACGTAATTGCGGTGTGCGTCTGTCCGCGGAGTGCCCCGAGCACCCCATAAATGGGCGTGTGGCTTTCAGCAGACACGTCAATGATGGTCATAAAACGTATTGGGGTGACTGAGCATGCAGTGGAAAAGACAATGCAGGAGACTGCTGCATTGTGTGTAGTCAGAACTATTGCAAACACTGGTTATGTGTCAGTCTACCAGCTTATTAGCATTCACCAGCCAAATTCCAATTGGCTGAAAACTAGTTGGCAGACCTGTTTAAAATGAGCTCATCTAACAGCTGATGATCAGTCTGTTATTTGGTCAAGTAATAAGACAGTGAACTGGCCGGCATCAGTTCAAATATCAGTCTCAGACAGGCAGGTGTTGCAGGACCACTTGGCAAACTTAATAGTTTGCTAGCTTCTAGATAATATTGCACATACCAGGTAATGATTCAGGGCACCAATGCCAACAGGCTGGTACCAGTATGTGCCAAATAATAACTTGGGACCAGCTGTCAGGTTTCAGGTTTGTGGTCTTGAAAGCACAAGCACCAGTTTTGCAGCTATTGAACCTGGAGCAGAGGTTACCTGCACATTGACCCTGCATACACAGTTATCCTTTGGTGCTCCTGTTGATGCTAAGTTGATATAGCAATGCTGTAGAGTTTTGTCCTGATGCCATGAGTCCACCCTTCATGCTATACCAAGCATGAGCATGAGCATTCATGGAATCTGCAATATTCCAACTCCACCACACATTGAGGTATAACATTGTAAAGAACTGTCCAGTCTGCTTGGAGAAGGGCTCCTTCACACTGATGCCCCCTTGTCCTCATCACAATATGAAGTAGTATGTTATTATTATGTATCTATGCCAGTTGGGAATGGCTTGAGCACAGGATGGGTTTTGATCAGGTGTTACAGGATCTGCTTGAGTTTAACAGTTTGTTTGCAGCACAATTGGCATATCATACCATATTTTCCAGGCATTAGGGAGGCTGAGCTCTCCACCCCAGGCTGGTCTTAACCACATTCACACTTGTATTGAATTGTTTGGTATGCTCAAATGCTTAATAATGGCCAGTACCCCGAAGTAAGCTAAAAAAATGATAAAGGAAGAGTTATTGCTCTAAGCTGTTACATTGCTGGCATTCATATGTTAGCAGTACACTGCAGACACCTTATTCCACATATATATGTGCTGCTGTTACTAGTGTGCTCTGGAGCATGTGCCAGGACATCAGTGATGTGGCAGGTGCTGGAGGTGGTGACAGCATCCAGCGATGGCCGACTGGGGGACCGGTTCCGGGCGCACCCGCTACACCCGCAGACGGCCGACCCGGCCGCCGTCGACTGGCTCTTCTTCGTGACCACGCTGAACTTCAACTTCTGGGCGCCAGTCAGCTCGACCAAGTATGGCGTGCGCTACGGCGGCGAGCTGTACGACGGCTACTTCTCACTCTGCGCCGCCGTCAACCGGGCTCTCGACGTGAGCACCTCCCCACGCGCTCCGGGGCGAACGGGGGGGGGGGGGGGAGGGGTGAGAACCTGGCGGGTGGCGTTCGCAGACGGCTGCCAGAGGATACCACAGGGGACGGTACCTGTGGCAGTGCGGTTCACGTCGGACACGACATTGTGGAAGTGCCTCACTGGTGTGATGTGGCTGAGGAAAATGAACAACTAGCATGTCGCGGTGATAGTGATCTAGAGCCATATTGTAATAGAGATAGAAGTGATGGACGTACAGCGGGTCTTTGCTTCCCGCATGTCGTGCTTTGGGCATCTACCAGTTTTTCACTTTGCACTGTCATTAGGTTTTAATTAGATTAGACTGAATGATGATGGGTCATCGAGCAGCCATTGATACATCTGATGGAGAATATTGCACGAGAATAAGTACCGTCCTTGGCTTCTCGCAGAATGTGACGGCTAGGGCCTGAGCCGTATATCATTGGGGCTTTACGACGCACTCAGCTGCTGAGGCTATATGGCGTCGCCTACCTCTCACCCGGGCAGGAAGCGCGGGTGCCGTGGAGAATCGAACCTCGTACCTCTGGTTTCCCGGACCAGGGCCTGAGCGGAGCTACTTTGCCAACAGGAGGGGGTGCCGCTGACGGACCCGGCCTACTACAGCCAGCTGGAGCTGGGGCAGCTGCGCCAGCTGCTGCGCTCCGACACCGAGACCGAGATTCCGCTGCTGGAGGAGAGACTGCAGGCCGCCACAGAGGCCGGTAAGGTGAGGCCGCAGACCGGACCGAGGCAACACTGCAGATCGGGGCCTGGGGATAGGTGCTGTGAACTTCAGGGAAACGTGTGGTTTCGAAATCCCAAACGTAATTTTACTTAAGACCGACGGCAGCGTTAGTTCCAGGTAGCCTCCAGTTTGTATGAGTTGCCTGCCACCTGTGGATAAACATGGCAATGCAGTTAGGAGTAAACATGCAGCTTGGATTTTTTTGCCATGGAGTCTAGCAAAAGAATGTTCATTTTCTAATGTCACGCTGCCTGATCGTCGACTCAGGGGCGCAGTTGCTGGGCTCAGCAGTAGAAGACACCGGGCTCAGAGCACCCCAGGGCCGTCTAGTGTCGTGCTGTTGGTTGACATCACCAGGATGGATGGCCTGGATGGTGGCGCCTCGGCTGGAACTCGTCTTTTGCGACCCACCGACACCGGAAAGATGCATCCGGTGTAGACATAGGCCGCTTGTTGACACCTGTAGTTGAGATACGCTGCTGAGGTGCTGTAAACTGTATGGTCCGCATCGCAGTGGCCGTGGTGGAGAGATCGGGCTCGAATGCGACACGCAGAGTTGCTCGCGGGTCCGCTGTGGTACAAACGACGTGAAGTTGTGCTATCCAAACCACAGTGACAATGTCATGGACATATATAACTGTGACTGTTCAACTACATTGGATCAACACTGATCGCAGAGACCTGTTGGAGGCTGATCTTAACGGAGCGCCCCGTCGCAACCTCAGGAATCCATCTGCCGTGACCGCGTAGCCGAGCCTGACCTTGGCCACAGATACCGCTGTGACCCTGCCAACGGCTACACCCTGACCGAGACCACCGCGAACGCTCCGCCCCCGGCCCAAGGTCACCGTGACTCCGTCCTGTATTGACCCCAGTGCCCTTGACCCGGACCGCGCCGAGCTCCAGTGACCCGTCGTCCGCAGGTCCTCGTCGCTAAGTACGGCGGGAGCTTCGCCGGCTGCCTCCGGACGGCGGGCGGCTCGGCCCAGCGGCTGCTGCGCCTCGTCACCGACGAGTTCGTCTCGTACCGCGACCAGGCCGACTACAAAGGCCGCCGAGGTGGGTCGGCCGACGGGCCGCAGCCGTAAATAAGAACATTAGGATCAATGTCATGATGATGATATCATCACGTGTCATGATGTGATGTGTAACCTAGTTTTGCGGGTCACGCTTTAGTGGGAATCAAGTGGATGCGGTACACGACACTCCAGTCTACCATAACGATTATGTAATGCGTGACTTAAGCGTGGGAACACACGGTGCCTCATGTCTTAAAAGTCTATTGGTCCCGAAAATACGTTCCCATCGCATCGCCGATAGGCTCAGTGTGTGTTTGTTATTTGGAATTAAACGAAAAATCGAGCCGGCGCAATGTTGAAATCTGTGATTTTGCTTTCTTTGGCCGCGGGTCAGGCGCATGGTACACAACAAAGTGCACATTTAAAAAAAACAAGATGGAGGGATGATACATTGTTACAAGTAACGTTGTTACAAGCACAAGTAACGCTAGTTTTCCGGTGCGTTCCGAGGATTTGAGCTCGTTTAGTTGCTGATAAACTGTTGTATTGAGTATGATGCGGATCAACTTTTGATATTGATGGATCCCTAACGCCGATCTTACGTTTCATGTGGTGCTAAAAATGGGTGCTTTCTCATCACTCGTTGGGCACTTCATCTCTACCAATTTCGCGAGAATCTGGAAATGGGTCGAGATCCGAAGTATTCAAAACCACGTGTAAATGATCGGTTTGAGATGGAATGGCCAATGGCTCAGCCGTTGGCGTTAAAATTACCCACGCGACGTTTGGTAAATATGCTTGCTCTTTCAGTGGATAGCGAAATGTTTTGGAATGCTCAGATTCCAATTGCTTGGTGATTCGAATCCAAACATTCGGATTCCCGCCCAGTTCGCATACTCGGAGTATTTAAGATCTTTCAATATGAATGGTCAGCTCTGGTTTGAAGGCTGACAACATGAACCTTTTGAAAGCCTTGCGACTCCGCATCGTCCGTCCCACCCCGCACCCTAACGACGGCGCTGGCTCACCGGGAGCAGGCTGCGGGGCCGTCACCTGCAGGTCGGACTGGCTGACACCCTGGCCGACACCCCTCCCAAGTACCTGCACGCGCCCCGTCGGCGCCGGCTCACCGGGAGCAGACTAGGGCCGTCAGCTGCGGGTCGGACTGGCTGACACCCCTCCCGAGTACCTGCACACGCCCCGACGGCGCCGGCTCACCGGAAGCAGACACTAGGGCCGTCAGCTGCGGGTCGGACTGGCTGACACCCCGGCTGATGCCCCTCCCGAGTACCTGCACGCGCCCCGTCGGCGCTGGCCCGCCGGAAGCAGGCTAGGGCCGTCAGCTGCAGGTCGGACTGGCTGACACCCTGGCTCATGCCCCTCCCGAGTACCTGCACGCGCCCCGTCGGCGCTGGCCCACCGGGACCAGGCTAGGGCCGTCAGCTGCGGGTCGGACTGGCTGACACCCTGGCTCATGCCCCTTTCGAGTACCGAGCACACGCCCCGACGGCGCCGGCCCGTGTGGACAACCCGTGACAACTGACGACAGGCTGAACCCAGGCAGACCGCAGTGTGGCCCCACGACACAGCTCTGTCTATAGCTTCAAAACTCCGAAATGATCAGCCCGGGCTGAGGGAGCTGTCACCCAACGAAGCCAAGCCAAAGGGAAAACTTGGCGCGCCACGTGCAGCGATTAGAATGAAGTGCTGCTAATGCTTCACCCCACGGAATATTGATGGGGACGAGACCTCATCGCAATCAGGCTTCCTCTCACCTGCGTTCGTGACTGCTTCTCGGCACGTGCGATGCCTAGCAGAAACGATGAACGGCGTGTGGAAGTAAGGGGTTGAAAACACTGATGTCCCGAGTCCAGCTTGGGTAATGTCGCATCTGCGAAGGGTGCAGTTGGTGTCAGTTGACCGCAATCTGCCCTTTGAACTGGCTGGACAGTGTTCTGGGGTTCATGAAGATAAGCGTAGCGCTCATGTTGTGGAGTGTTTGGCAGAATGTTCCGGGTGGATTCCGCTTTGAGATCGCAGTCTAACAATCATAGTTTGTTTCAAAGGCCCTAACCCCACCGCCCTAGTAGTGCAGTTCTGGTTAAGCAGCTAATCCTGGCCGACAAGAGGTGTCGTTACACTGATGTGACACGGCTGCGTGGGTTCAGCCCGACTCTTCTGCCGTTTGCCATTTGGCCGCCATAGACACCATAAAACACGGCTGGCGGAACGCGAGCCCTTGGGCCTGCCTGACCTGCTTGCTTACCAATATAATTGGTTATGTACATTATATTTAAGATGCTTCTGCAACTGGGAAATAGTCCGCGCCTTTGACGGTAGCTTTAACTTCAGAAATTCCACATTTGCCTCGCATCCGGCTCCAGTTTGCGTGGATTGAACTCACGTCCACGGTCTTTTTTTGCGGGACGGAGCTGTTCCGCATAGTAGGAGCGAGAGCACTGGAGCGTGGGGCCGCGAATAGGCCCGCTTTGCTTCGTTGCGTCTGGCAATGGTATGCTCGGTTGGACAGCGAGTGGATCGGGTCGGCATCGCAGCGGTGGGTTCATGTTTTTGTTTTTAATGCGTTTGAACTTTGTGCTTTGAACTGCTAACGCGTGGTGTTGAGGACAGCAACCCCTCAACGACAGCTGTATGCAGATTGTATCTGTGCTCAGCTCGATCACATTGCATCTCCGTACTATATCCTCTTGTGTTGAGTTATTCGTTTATGCTCGACTGTGTGGGTGAGCATGCCTCGAGGCCAGCCGCGGTGACTGAGGCGGTGCCCCCTTCCAGTGTCCTTCTACAAGCGGGCCCAGCTGCTGATCGCCGACCTGTGGCTGTGTTTTGACGGCCAAGGCCTCGGGCACTTCGACGACATCACCTCTCTCACCATGTTCGCAGACTACAGGTGAGATTAGAGCGTCCGACCGGGGCTCGGGACACGAATGGCTGAAATGCTCATCACCAATGCTGTTTCGAATCATGGCGCTACAAAGCACCTCACGAAGTAAGTGAACAGGCCGAAAGCCAGATTTGTTGGGTAGACGTGTGTTGAGTGAGCATGATGAACGTGTCAAGCTTTGATCGAATTCAGTTGCGCCCTTGCGAAGGCTACACACGCATTAGCAGGCGGTCTATGGGCTGCCAGACACCCTTCATGAGCTGGCGTGCGGGCGGAGGATATTTTGGGTCCTTTCAATGTGTTGAAGCTGTGGGAAACCTGCTCTCAAATGTTGGGTCGGATGACGTGCTTTTTTGTTCTCAAAGTTCGAACCAAGCATGGGGACGAGGCTTGTGGTTTCGTAGCCGAATCTGAGACCGAGGCAATGACACGAAGCTGAAACTGAAAGACGAAGCTAATGGCTGTGGATTTTGGAGCTGTTAAGCTGACATCGAGGCCGATTTATTCATTTTTTAACGCGGAGCCGTTGTCGAAGCCAATGGCGTCGACCTTTATACATGCGAAGCCGAAGCCGAAATGCCTTCGAACATAGGAAACGCGAAGCCAAAGTCAAACCCATCATTCGAAAATCTTTAGGCCGTTTTGGATCAGAGTCTAGTAAACAACGCCGTTTTGCGCAACCAAACCATTCCCGTCTGCCAAAACTGTGTTATCAGAAAATATCGTCATGGTTTTGCGAATATTGAGATTTGATTTGATGTTTATTTTCGTTTATGGACATTAAGCAGTGCATAAAATGATGAGTAGGTTGACGCATAAGCGAATCGCTTTCATCGCCGCCAGGGAACCCACGACACACTGCCCACCTGCCCGATCTGCAAGCCGACACGGGCCAGGCGCCCGCCGCCGCTCCGGCCTACACATATAGCCGTCTCGGGCCGGCGGCGGACGCCCGGCCCGGCAACGCCACCCAGTGGCCCGTCTGCTGCCCGCGCCCGCTGGAAGTTTTTAGGCGAATCGTTCGGTCTGACAAATAAATGTTTGGAAAATTCTTGCTATCTGCTGCCCATTGCGATCCTGTAAACCGTTACCTCTGAGATAGATACTTAGGTGCTCGTTGTGAGTGAGCCCAGAAAGGTTTGGAACGATACAATCTGTTTTACGTAGCATTGCAATTCGGATTTCATGATACCGAGGACAGTTAAGTACAAAGTGTTTAGGGTCTTTATATGGATGGCCACACAAGCGAGAGGGACTAGGTGTAGTTGGATTTTGAATTTCGAACAGGTGAGCATTTAGGTCTGACATTTCCAATCTGAGCCTGGTATTTAGGATGTTGCCATGCCTGGATCCAAAGCTGTGATACACCGGAGGCGCGGCCACACCGCAGCGCTGGTATATTTCCCGTTTGAAGGAACGAGAAGACGGGAGAGATGACACCTCAAGCGGGGGCTGGTTCCGTCTTCTCGTAGTTGATGGAATATAATATTTTTGATATGTTGAGGTTCTGTTCGGTGGTAATGTGAGTATCATTGTATTGCGTAGTGGGCGTCCTGTTACAAGTGCTCGTGCGTCAGGTAGAAGTGCAGTGACGTCTGTTGGCAGTAGATGTTGGTTGTGTATGAGGGTATGGAACAGCGTCAGTTTGTGCATGTTTCTTCATGATTTGAGAGTGTTCCATCCCAAATCGCCCAACAGTGCGTGAGTGTGTGTTCTGTAGAGTGCACCGGTGATTAGTCTTGCTGCTCTGTACTGTAATCTGTCAAGTCTAAGGGAGTCGCTGGTTGTCAAAAGTCCGTCGTATACTACTCCACAATAATCAAACAAGGGAAGAATGTAAGTCATATATATGTCGTTGAGGATATGCCGAGGCAGAAGTCGTGATAGTGGGTAGAGAGGTCCAAGGGCTTTGCTGATTTTGGAGATGGTGTCATTAACGTGCTGGTGAAAGTGCAAATCAGTAGATCCCGGCAGTCCAAGGTGTTTGTGGCTTGTAACGGAGATGAGTTGTCGGTATTACGGCTGAAAGGTTTTGTTCCAATTATTTTCTTTGTTTTGTGTTTGAGTGTGCATACGACGTTTCGGACTATTAGCTTTCTGGCCAACGCCAAGTGTTACTTGGTCCTGAGAATGGCTGGCTAGTTTTGTCTTCCAGCTATACGCACATCACATCCTTAGAAAGTTGTGAGGTATACTGCGGTAGCAGGGCGGGCAAGACTTTTGTGGAATAAAGTAACAACTGCGGTAAAAGAATCCCCATGCCAAAGCCGAAACCAGCAGTTCAAGATCGCATAAAGCCAGAGCCGTGTTCAAAATTTGTTCAAAACCAAAGCCGTAGCCGAGGCCGTCTTTAAAATGGCACAAAGCCGAAGCTAAGACACAAAGTAACCGTTTTAAATGGCGCGAAGCCTGAGTCATCACCAGCCGTGGAAAATGGCTCAAAACCGAAGCCGATCCTGAAGCCGTTGCAGGAAAACTGCGATTTCACAAGGCTGAAGCCAGTGCCGAGGCTGGCTTTGTCTCCACCTCTGGTTCAAACCAGTCAAAAAAGTATGTGCACGTGCCGCACTACCACGCATGCAGCACAACCCGATTGCGCCCCCGTGAATGATGCTTTCCTGTTTGAGGTCGCCATTAGGATGCAGTCGACAGCGAAATCCATGCACTCATTTCGGTGCTACTGAACGTTGGTGTTATGTTTCTAAAACTGTGTCCAGGTCGACGAATATTCAGAAATTTATACATTTAGTGGTGTGCAGGATGAGCTTTGGTGCAGGTATGCGTTACAAATGCCAGAGCACGGCTTGCTGCTCCATGGAAATGGGATGATTTAGCGGGCGTCATATCGGGTTGTTTATGCTGAGGTGATGTATGCCAACAGCTTGAGTTCGTTTTCAAGACAACATACCGTGTTGATTTATGCCCTGGATTTTGTGTTGCATTGCCAGCGACCTTGTTTCTTAAAGGTAAATTGCTGGTGTTGTTGGCGGGTGCAGCGCAGTGGTGCTAATCGCCGTGTGGAGTGGCGATGGAAGAGGAGTAGTCTGTTCACATGTTAAATATCACCACTGCGCGCTGCTGCTGTGGCCCACGGAACATAGGGTGTCCCTTTTTCGATTGCAATGCTCTGGAGGATGCCTTGGCTACGCAATGGCTTGATGTTTTCAAATTTGCGTGTTCTCTTACCGCCCGGAGCAGCCTCTGACAACTCAGACACTGCCATTGAGTGACTATTTACTGCTCAACGCGAGTGTGAATCGTACGCAAGAGTGCCAAGCGGCATGAGCAGCTAACAGACCATCAAAACCATCATGGCAGATAAGTCGTGATTGTCGTGCCGGCTAGCACTGTTGGTCATGGTTACCGTACCTCTGAGCAGTGACCCTCGCCCAGCAGGTTCCCGCGGGCGCTTGCCTACCTGGACGCGCTGGCCATGGTTACCGTACCGCTGAACAGTGACGCTCGCCCGGCAGGATCCCGCAGGCGCTGGCCTACCTGGACGCGCTGGCCATGGTCACCGTACCCCTGAACAGTGACGCTCGCTCCGACAGGATCCCGCAGGCGCTGGCCTACTTGAGCCTGCTGGCCATGGTCACCGTACCCCTGAACAGTGACGCTCGCCTTGGCAGGATCCTGCAGGCGCTGGCCTACTTGAGCCTGCTGTCCATGGTTGCCGTACGCTCGCCCCGACAGAATTCCGATTCCGAGCAGCGACGCTCGCCCCGATAGGATTCCGCAGGCGCTGGCCTACTTGAGCCTGCTGACCATGGTTACCTTACCCCTGAGCAGTGACGCTCGCCCCGACAGGATCCCGCAGGCGCTGGCCTGCTTGAGCCTGCCGACCATGGTTACCGTACCCCTGAACAGTGACGCTCGCTCCGACAGGATCCCGCAGGCGCTGGCCTACTTGAGGCTGCTGTCCATGGTCACCGTACCCCTGAACAGTGACCCTCGCCCGGCAGGATCCCGCAGGCGCTGGCCTACCTGGGCGCGCTGCGTTACTCGACGCAGCTGACCGAGCTGCTGCAGGCTGAGCACGTGTTCACGTCCGGCGAGCCTATGGAAGCCGAGATCCGCGGCTGCAGCATCGAGGCCGTCGAGCGGGTGACGGCCGCTGCCAGACGGATGCTGGAGCGCGCCGGGCGGCCGGCCGACCACGCCCGCCTCAACAGCATCGTGGTGGACAACTTCCTATGGGGATACCGGCGCCAGCACGTCAAGGAGACGGACGCCGTGCCCTACCACAAGGTGCGCTGTGTCTACTACTGAGACGGCTCCAGTGGCGGCGCTGTGTCTACTACTGAGACGGCCCCAGGGGCGGCGCTGTGTCTACTACTGAGACGGCCCCAGGGGCGGGCAGGCGGTGTGTAGTGTTACGCAGGCTTGGACCGCCATGACGGCTACTGGCCTCGAGCTGGAGCTGCTGACCAACGCTGGCGCTGGTGGTGAGAACAGCCGGTAACGCTGGCGCTGGTGGTGAGGACAGCCAGTCGCGGACGTGATGGAGATATTCCAGGCTTGGCTTCCGTCTAGGTGTTACGATGTAATTGGGGCTCTAGGATGAAAGTGGAACGCATGTCATGTTCTGAATCGCCTGTTGCCATCGGGTCACAGTGGTGCTTTCTGCGCTGTGTGGATTATACGACGTGGTGCCGGCGATTGGTGCGTGGTTTTAGTGCTAGGTTTCCTTCTTTATGGGAATCGATCAGAAAATGTTTGGTGTTGTCACTGAATATAAATTTCGCTTCACATATGAGGAGAAGATTGCTTAAGCCATTGGCCGTTGCAGCGCCTGTCATCATGGCTCGATACAGGATACAGAACAGGAAGCGAACGGAGACACCCGGGGGACATCCCACCGCATGCGTTCCCCGAGACGAGGCAGATGCGATGACCGTCAGCACCAGTCTCGCGAACAACCGATGCTGCTAGCGGGGGTGGAGCGCGGCTGCCGAGGCGCACGGAGTCTCCCCCCACGGGCAGAGGCGCAGCCAGGCTGAGAAGACGGGGAGTTTGGCCAACACGGAGTCTCCCCCCGCCGGCAGAGGCGCAGCCAGGCTGAGAAGACGGGGAGTTTGGCCAACACGGAGTCTCCCCCGCCGGCAGAGGCGCAGCCAGGCTGAGAAGACGGGGGAGTTTGGCCAAACGTGATCGCGAACGGTCCCGCGCTCATCGCGGTGACGTGGAGACGGCCACGCCGCTGCGCTGTTCGCTCGGTTGCCCCATCGTTGGTTTGTGCCGCAGTTGTCACGCCTGTGGGTGGCTGTGTAACGGTGCAGGGTATCCGCGTTCACGTCGCCCTTTGCCCCGTGTTGGTCTGGGAAAGTGACTCACGCGGGCGGTGATTTGCATAACGTGTCGCGGTGATCTGTGCCCACACGTGTAGCCCGACGACCCGTGCGTCTGACTGATTCACATGGATGCAACCACTTGTCACGGTCTGAAAAACCGGCGCAAAACGAAAACTAGCTCCGCTATAGCTCAACTATGCTGAATCGTCTGTTTCCTCGGTAAGGAAATGGACACCTGAGCCACCTGAAGGTAGAGCTTCACACTGTAACACAACCGCATCGTCCACGCCTCGTCGCATCTCACATTTCGCATTTCACATTTTGCTGCCATGCAACGCAGACGTACATAAAATTGTGTACAGCGATGCAGGCTGATAACTGGACACCAGCTTTTCGATGGACTGGTGATTAGTTTATGATGCGCTGATTGGCGACGTTGGATTATTGCTTGCGAACTTAACCTCAACTTCACTCGTAATCAGACTTATTGAAGTTCTGCAGGACCGTGTTCACTGCTTCTACAAGTGGTGTAATCACCCGCGTGACAGCTGTGTTCTATGAGTGCGGTGGTCGATATACCGGTGCATGGTCTCTCAAGTTTGGGGTTGTCTGTTTCCATGGTGGAATTGTCTTTCCATGGAGGGATTCCGAACACTTAGGGGCACTGGTTCAGTTACCATGCGTTCAAAAACGCACCGTAACACACCTGCATTTTCGGTTCTTACCGTCTTGATCGGCTTCGTAGACGCCACTGAACGCAAGCTCCCTAAGTCGGCAACTCAGGGAATGGAGCAAAACTAGGTAGGCAGGTTGAAGTCTGCTGCTGCTCACACCGCAACAGACCAGAACCTGCTCTTGGAAAGCACAGGAACAGGGTCATAATTTGGAGTGCCTTTCAAGGTTTGCTATGCTTATGGAAACTTGTTTTCAAAACGTCGGACCGGGTAACGTCATCGTTTTTGTTCACAGGCCGATCTAACGATAGCCTGAGTCATGATTGGCGCACCAGCCGGATGCTGCAATTCATATAACATCTGATGGACTGATAATGTTTAAATTGTAGACATCAAGGAATGTCTAACTTTGATAAATGTTTTGTCTAGAAGTGTGCTGTGATGTAGAATGTGTTAGTCTGTTGTCAATTAGTGACTAGCGCACTCATGTTTGCTGGTGTTATGTCTATGGCGGCTGTATGTTCAGGTGAATCGTCTTCGAAGTTTGTATCCGCTTTCAGTAAACCATATGATTCTATTACTTAAACTTCATGCTTAATGTGAACCTAGTATTTGTAAATGCAGGCATACAGTAACACATTTACATGCCTCATCAAGTTCGAGTCTCGGAACTACAACTCTTGCCCTACTGATGTCTTAGCCGTCCCCGTGCGATGGCTGTGCCCCCGTTAGCTGACTCCTCACTGAGCGATGTGCCACCAGCGACACGCACTCTGCTACACTACTGGTAATGTTTAAATTGTAGACATCAAGGAATGTTTACTTTTGATTGTCAATTGATTGATTTAAATGTCACCGTCGCCATCCGCCCCGGCCGAGCCGGCCCCTGCCATCACCGCCCGCCCCGGCCGAGTCGGCCCCTGCCATCACCGCCCGCCCGGCCGAGCCGGCCCGGGACGGCTTACCTCAGAGCCCCAAAGGTCGCGGTGGCTTTGCACACATAGGACCCCTGTGGGACGACCAGCGCACTCTGGCCAATCGCAAGGGGGCTTTAAACTCGGTGTGCTTCCAGCGGCAGACACCCCGTTACCCTGCGGGCCTTTCTCTTCTCGCGTTTGTTGGACGGAACCCACGCACTCCGTGCCTGGAAACAGGTCTGGTCCGCGCGAGACGCGCACACGCGCTGTCCGATCGCTGGCTCCTGCCATCACCGCCCGCCCCGGCCGAGCCGGCCCCTGCCATCACCGCCCGCCCCGGCCGAGCCGGCCCCTGCCATCACCGCCCGCCTCGGCCAAGCCGGCCCCTGCCATCACCGCCCGCCTCGGCCGAGCCGGCCCCTGCCATCACCGCCCGCCCCGGCCGAGCCGGCCCCTGTCGCCACCGCCCGCCCGGCCGAGCCGGCCCGGGACGGCTTACCTCAGAGCCCCAAAGGTCGCGGTGGCTCTGCACACATAGGACCCCTGTGGGACGACCAGCGCACTCTGGCCAATCGCAAGGGGGCGTTAAACTCGACGTTAGTAATTTGTCCTTGACAATATTGCGAAATCAAATAGCACACATGACCGCGTGAATTGAGGTCAGGACCATACCAGCCAGACTATTCCCGTTATGCTTTTGGTCCCAGCGCCTACCGCAAGGCATCAACAGCTCTGTCTTGTTGCGACACGTCACCAGACGGTGAAGGAAAGTGAGGCAGCGTGCCGCGCCAAGCTGGCTGCTGTCCGGTCGCTGAGGGCCGACAACGACCGTTAAAACCACCTTTGCATTCGCCCGACCCTATCTCAACCCTTTCATGTGGGTGTGATTTCCTCCCCGCTGCGCGAGCGCCTGTGAACGATAGGCACGGCCGTCGCCCTCGATCACGTGGTCTTCGGCGGTTTTGTAGGCTGAATCTCGATTTTAGTCTGCTGTAGGCGGAAAGTATGCACTAAGCGTTGGTGATCTACCTATCTGCTTCGGTTTTGATTGTATTTAATTGTTGCAATGGCACATATGACGTTTCGTTAGGAGCTTGGCCGTCGGAGTACGGTTGTGTAACGGCTTGACTCGGGTTTCACTGAGGGCCAGGCTGACAGCGACAGGCTGACGTGTCCCGAAAGCGCTGCACGTGGGCCGTCGCGCCTGCGAGTGGAGGGGAAGTTCAAACAGGTGGCACATTTTTTACAACCCCAGTTTACTGCAAGCTGCCCCTCTTTACTCATTTCCCACCGACTCTCACAAATGAGTCAACTCTCGGGAAATGGACGCTAACCGGTATGCCGCGTCGATGCAACGGGTATTGGTCGTCATTTCCGGCGCTCATGAGGAAGGGATGTTGCAAAAAACACAGCAGGATATGTGGTTACGGAGTACGTTTTTCAAATGTGGTCGCTATGTTCACTACTGCGGCCAAGTGAATCGGTGGTGCGGCATGTTGCGGCTCGCTCGGCTCTGCAGGCCTGTTTTCCGTCGGCGGCCGGGTTCAGCCCCGATCGCGGCCGGTCCGGCCGCTCCCCTCCCCCTCCCCGCCCCCAGCGCCGGGGTAATCCTGCAAAACGTGCACCAGGCGCCATCTCATGACTCAGCCACGCTCGATTCCGGGAAGTTCTACTACACGGCGTGTGTCACCTGGAGGGTGCGAGGACGGCTCGGCGCGGAGGGCGGCTCGTGTGCGGCGCGCCGGGACGCCTGGCCGTCGCGGCGCGTGAGTCACGTGCTCGGGCGGCGCGTCGGCGAGGGGGGCGTCGACGCCGGCGAGCGCCGTCGACGGCGGCCGCTTCCGAGAAGGCCGTCCCCGTGGCCGAGACGGCAGAAGCCGGCGCTTCCAGGAAGGCGGTGGCGCTGGGGCAGGACGGCCGTGGTCGGCGCGAGGGCTTCAGCGAAGCGGCCGCGGCGGCCGCGGCGTCTGCCCCGTTATGAGGCTGCGGGGGTGCCGACGGCCGAGCTGTCGCGAACTGACGGCACACTCATCATCCGCCCGTCCCGCCGTGACAGCGCTGGGAAGTCTGGGCACCAGGCGCGGAGGCGGCCAACGCTTCCAGGAAGCACCGCTGCTGCACTGGACCGGCCCGCTCTGGAGAGGCGTATAGACACGCTGCTTTTTTCTAACGTGTCCTGTATGCTTAGCGACGGGATGGTACATTTCATCGTACAGCTTTGGCGCCGTATGGTGGCTTATTTAAGGCTCAGCCCTGGCACCGCCAAGGACCACACCGAAGGCCACCGTGTTCGACTGGCTGATTTCGCCAGATAGGCGGTTTTGTCTCGTTTTAAGCTACGATTCCGATCCAACAATAGCAAAATACACATGAGTGGGTGTTTAATCTCGGCTTAAGCGATGACAATTTCGTGTGCTGCTTAACGGTAAAACTACCGCAACGGTCTTTCCCTCTGAAAAGTGCTGCCTGTCAAGGGAACTCTGAATTGCGCAGGGGTTGAACTTCCAGAGAGAGCTAAGTTGGGGAGGGGCATGTTTAGATTTTCAGTCAATTTTTCACAACGCCATAGGCTCCATGCTGAAGTTCAAGGGCATGGATGAGGGATGGGGAGGGCTGGAGCTCAACAGATATATGAAATGTTCCACCATGAAATCATCTGCTATTTTTCCCGGACGTAACCAAGATGTAGGTGTGAAAAGTGGTTTTGAGGGTGGGGGTTGGGGGCTAAAACGAGAAAATAGCTAAACCTACCATAGCAATACGGGGAAAATGTGTGTCTCTCCACATTGAACCGCTGCGTTCTCAAAGTTAGCTGAGGAGGGAAAGAGGAAGGGGGGGGGGGTTGAAGCCCCGTCTCCAACGGAATAAGAA